GTCTGGTACATGTGCATGTGGATGTTTGGGGAACCCTGGGCAGCCTCGTGTTGTGTGTTCTCTTGACCTTCTAGGAACCTGGCCCTTCATGAAGGACGGGGTCTGAACCTCTCCAGTTCTAACACCAATGGTGGAGGGGGAAGACATGAGGGTTTGGTTCTTGGTGAGGCGGGGCCTCCTGCAGCGAGGCACATTGAGAGAGCGGTGCACATTTGTGGTTGAGGACACCATGTACTGTGCTGAGTGACCTTCTCTCCTCTGTACCCCAGTGATCTACAATGGGTGTCCCAGAGCATTCGAGGCCGGCATCTGGTGGCCGCAGACCAAGTTCGGACAGCCAGCGGCAGTGCCATGCCCCAAGGGATCCATGGGTAAGTTATTGTGGCCCATGTCATCCACGGGCAGGAAATTGGACTGAGGCACATATTCTCGCAGGAGAGCCAGCTGAGGCATCAGAACTGTGAAATGTTCCATGTTGAAGAAATGTCTTTAGGCAAAGCATTGGACAGCAGCAAGATACTTTTTCCTTAGTAGTAAATGACAAGACACATTAAAGGCATAACAGAAACATAATTAGCAGAGTGTAGGGATGCCCGCCAGTCAGGCCTGACCCACTTCCTGGCTCTGGCACTCTGGCTGAGGGACTTGCACTGGTGTCTCTCTGTGAAATGGGCACAGTAGCAGTGTCCATGCTGTGAGAGTATTGGGGAGTCCATTGGGGTACACAGGAAGGCTCAGCCCCAGGCAGCTTCTTGGTGCATGTGGAAATCGTGGATACCCAGCAAATGACATAGCTGATTTCTTTTCTCATGGACTAGCTCAGGTGTTCACTGGGTACCCAAGAGGCCTGGCAGTAAGTGTCAGAGCAGCATCGGACGTGACCCTGGGGTGGAAGAAGGGTGCTGTGTTGGCCTCATGGCCACGTGGGGTTCTCACCACCACACAGTGCTCTGGGTTTGAGCACATTTGAATTGGGGAAGTTAAATAAATATGCGTTGATCAGCAGTTTGAATTTTGGGTCCTCCAAATCCATTCTCATTCCCTAGGAAATGCCATTCGACACTGCAGTGGGGAGAAGGGTTGGCTGCCCCCAGAGCTCTTTAACTGCACCACTGTCTCCTTCATGGACCTCAGAGTGGTGGTAGGTTGGTGCCTCAGGGATATGTGTTTGGTGGGACACACACACATGAGTGCATGCGTGTGTGTGTGTGTGTGTGTGTGTGTGTGTGTGTGTGTGTGTGTGTGTGTGTGTTGGTTGGGGCTCCCATCTGGGGAGTACTGGGACAGCTGGAATGGCATGGACACTGACCCCACAGGTCAGTGGCCTGGAGCCAGGCTGGTTTCCATGATTCACATGTGCATTCCTCACCCCAGAGGACCCGGCTCTGCATCCTGTGTTCTGTTCGACTCCCTTTGCCCTCTGATCCTGCCTCTTTTTGTGACATTTATTCTCTTGCATTTCCTGCTTGGTGTCTTTCTCCAAGCCCTCTTTGGCCTTACAGACACTCTTATTTTCATGCTATAAGTATCGACTGGAGTTTGTTTCTAGGTTTCTAGATTTTTTTATTTTTTTGAGTTGGGGTCACACTCTGTCACCCTGACTGGAGTGCAGTGACACGTTGACGGCTCACTGCAGACTTGACCTCCTGGGCTTAGATGATCATTCTGCCTCAGCCTTCTAAGTAGCTGAGACTACAGGTACACCACCATCCCTGGCTATTTTTTTTTTGTAGAAATGAGGTCTTGCTATGTTGCCCAGGCTGGTCTAAAACTTCTGGGCTCAAGCAATCCTCTCACCTCGGCCTCCCAACAGTGCTGGGATTGCAGGCAGGAGCCCCTGCAACCAGCTGCTTCCGCATTTTTTAAGTTCCTTTCTGACTAGGAATCTTCCACCAGAAGGCAGTGAATTTCTGGATAACAGGAGGGGCTGAAAGCAACCGAAGTACATTCACCAACATCAACTGCTTCCCTTGTTCCAGAATGAGAAGCTGAGCCGTAACGAGACTCAGGTGGATGGCGACGGGGCCTTGCGGCTGGTGCGGGCTCTGCGCAACGCCACACGGCACACAGATGCGCTCTTCGGCAATGACGTGCGCACGGCCTACCAGCTGCTGGGCCACATCCTGCAGCATGAGAGCCGCCAGCAGGGCTTCGACCTGGCGGCCACACGGGACGCCGACTTCCATGAGGTAGAAGGGTAGCAGCCTGCTCGGGAACGCCTCTGGGCGGGAGCTGTGGGGTCAGGTACCCTAGAGAGGTTGGGCGTCGCCCTCAACTTGTGGAAGACCATTGTACCCAGGATCACCAACGCTTCATTCTTCAAATGTGAGCTCCAGCCAGTATGGTGACTTGCTAAACTGATGCCAAGTGTGAAAGGGGTGTTTTGGCAAGTAAATGTGGCGATCACAACTCTGATGATACTCACAGTAGTGACCGCTCGCAGCTGCTTGCTTTAGTATGTGCCAGGCGGCATTCTGGGTTTTTTTTTTTGAGTTGGAGTCTCACTCTGTCACCCAGACTGGAGTGCAGTGGCCGCTCTCAGCCACCGCAGCCTCGACCTTCTGGGCTCCGGCGATCCTTCAGCCTCAGCCTTCCAAGTAGCTGGAACTGCAGGCGCACGCTACCACACGCGGCTAATTTTTTTTTATTGTAGAGATGAGGTCAGGCGGGTCTCGAACCCACGGGCTCAGGCAATCCACTCACCTCAGCCTCCCAAAGGCGCGGGATTACAGGCTGAGCCACCGAGCCCGGCGCCAGGCAGCATTCTAAGTGGCTCACCTGTATCAGCCACCTCTCCTTTTCACACAGCAGTACTTTTTTGTAGTGCTATTATCTACCGTTTGACAGGTAAGGAAACTGAAGCACAGCTCGTGAGGGAGTGGGGCCCGGCAGTGGGCTCCAGAGTCTCTGCTTCCAGCCATGATTCCAAGGTCCTGCTTTCAGATGTCCAGCCTTCACCAAGGCCCTCCTGTTCTGCATTAAGTCATCAGCCCCTAAGCAATGTCTGTTTAGGTCAATTGCTGAGAAGATTCATTCAGCCTGATATTCGGAAACTGCTCTTGGAAGGTTCCAAAAACCTCCTTACAGCTCCTCTCCAGGGCTCCCCATCCATGCAGAGCCCCTAGAGGACCTCCTAAGGGACCATCTCATCCACAGAGAGTCCCCCAGACCCTAGGCAAGGTCCCCTCTGTATGATTTTAATCTCAGCCTCAGAGTTTGGGCCGATGGAATCAGTTCTCCATTTTTGACTCTTTGCAAACAGAAGTTTTCCTCCCTTCTGGTTTCTATCTTGGGTTGTGGCCCCAAGCCCCTGTACACAGCCCCACACCCTACACCACCTGCTGCCCCACTGGTTCACATAAACTCTGAGGTGCATGGAGGCGGAACGTCGCCCCCAGAGGAACCGACCATGTGTCCGTGGGTGCCACACTGCATGCACCTCTTTTCAGCCGAGGGCGTGGTGGTTGCCATCACCTGGTTTGCCTGGTGGGGCCAAGGAGTTCTAATATAATCAGGGGTATCTCTGCATGTCTTCCCCCTATTAGTGTCTCATGGTGTACATGGGGAAACCCCTGGTAGGGCTCCCCCCAGACAAAGTCCCTGGCCTTTGAAATTAAATCACCCACAGTCTCTTCTCCTGGATCCCGCCCTGGCTTGATCTTGGCAAGCAAAGGTTTTCTAGGCCTGGTTTGCTCTCTCCTGTTAGCCAGGCCTCCCAGGTGCAAGGCTGAGCACTGTCCATCTGTCTGAGCAGGATGTCGTCCACTCGGGCAGCGCCCTCCTGGCCCCGGCTACCAGGGCCTCATGGGAGCAGATCCAGCGGAGTGAGGGTGGGGCGGCACAGCTGCTGAGGCGCTTCGAGGCTTACTTCAGCAACGTGGCACGCAACGTGCGGAGGACGTACCTGCGGCCCTTTGTCATCGTCACCACCAACATGAGTAAGGACTGCCAGCCAGCGTGGGGGCGGGGCGCCCCATGGATTCACTTGGTGGGCGGAACCCTGAGACCATCTGGATTGGGTACCCCAAGCAGGCCCCCCGGGTGTGGGGTTGGTGGACTGCTGGGCCCCGCTCAGCCGCTTTCTTGGAAAAGTGAGTCAGCAGCTTTGGCTTCTGTCTCCTTGTCTGTAAAATGGGCCTTTGGGAAAACAATCTGTAGTAACACAGCCATTGCTCTGGGGGGACAGATTCTGGGCCATGTGAGCCAGGGGTGTCCAGCGGGCCTTCCAAACCCTCTGATGTAAGACCTTCTAGAGGGTTCCACTACAGTCCAGCCCTCCCAGATAGTCAGTGTTGGATTGAAAGTTTTGGCCATTCTGAAAACACTAAGGGTTCAAGAAAACCCTGGAAGTTGTGTGCGATTGAAGGAACTGTCCCCCTAGTTCTAGCTGTCGACGTCTTTGACAAGTTCAACTTCACGGGAGCCAGCGTGCCACGGTTTGAGGACATTCACGAGGAGTTCCCCAGGGAGCTGGAGTCCTTGGTCTCCTTCCCTGCCGACTTCTTCAAGCCACCTGAGAAAAAAGGTATGCCCGCTCAGAAACCCACTGCTGCCCTTTGGGGTCCCTGCTGTTCGGGGATGGTGGGCATGGCCCTCTGAGAGCGTCCTGGGAGGATAAACAAGATGAGTGACAGCAGGACTCATTGGGGAACATGTTCCTCACTGGACATCCAGGGTGACTAGAGCATTTGCTGGCACAAGCCCTATTGGCAGCAGCGGGTTGTTTCTTACTGGTGCTTAGGTATAGCTTAAGCATCCCTGAAATCAGAAATGCTCCAAAATTGAAAATTTTTTGAGCACTGACATGACACGCCAAGGAATTGCTCATTGGAGCATGCATATAATGCAAATATTCCAAAATTGGAAAAAATTCAAAATCCCAAACACTTTTGGTCCCATGCATATTGGATAAAGGATAATCAACCTGTAATTTCTGATGAACAAACAAGAGAGCACTTAAGTTTGCATGTGAGCTAGTCTTCTATGTGCAGTGAAAAGATGTTTCTACAAAAGATAAAAATCTTAGAATCCCCACCACACAAACAAACCAGAATTAAAGTGGGTTTTTTTGTAGATCCACCATGCCAATTACTAAAAACTTCTCAAAATAATAGGGACATGAAAAGGTAAATAATCTGTAATAGACCATTTAAAATTTGAAATGATTTTAGTATTTAATTTAACATAATATTATTTTAAGTGTCTTAAATAAGCACTGTCGAAGAGGGTTTGCTCTGGTGTGGGATCATGCTTGGTACTGACCCCCTCTTACAAACTGTGTTTAATTTCAGATTGATGTGTGTTTTCAGCATTGTGTTGTCTGTAGGTGTTTTGTTCATAGCTATCCACAGAAGTAATTTTGTGTGTTGGTGGAGGCATGGGTGTCTGTATCTCTTCGCTTCTTTGCCTAGTAGAGGGCTCTCTCTCTGTGGCTGTGTCCCCATCTGTTTCTGAAATGATGCCAGGTTGTCCCTCTCTTGGGGTCTTTGAGCATCAGGAAGGGACACACAGGAACCTACTTGACTTTAAAGCGTCCCTGCAGAAGGATCTCAGGGTACCTGGTTCCCTGCACTCCCCCAGACTACCTCCAGTCAGACCCTCTGGCCCCCAGCTCCCCTGAGCTCTGTAAGTGGCGTTGTATTCAACATAGTGTTTACCCTGCCAAAATGAGTGAGCTAGCACAGTAACACAGTATGGCAGGCACCACTGATTTCATTTCGGCTAATGAGAAGACAGCCCCCTGTCTTTAACCTTTTCTCTCTTCTAATATTCCTCAAGCACGTGACATGCCACATCATGACACCCCCTATAGCGGCATCTAGGAAGCAATTCTCCCAGGACGGGGAGTGGCCACAGCCTCAGCCCCTTACTGTCACTCACTATCCCCCAACTCCCAAAGACCTGCTTTTTCTCACTTCTCAAGCCCTGCAGGATGACCACCTTCATTCCAACACTCTGAGCTGCCGCCTCCTTTCTCACATGGCCACCATCCCTCCAGTCTTTGCTGTGACTTTCCCCTAGGCAGTCTCTCACCCCAACCCGGTCTCCAGGGCCCTCACTTCCCCATGCTCTGACCTACCCTTAGGCCTAAGAGCACATCCTTCCCCTTGACCCATGTGAGGGTTACCTGTCCTACTGGGTGAGAGGTCCCTGGGGGCAGCTGCAGTCTGGGGAAGCCTCGTCCCAGGGAGCCTCCAGAGCACATTTGCTGACTGCCTGGCTAGTTGGGACAGTGATGAGCTGGCCCAGCCATGGAAAACACGAAAGTTTTAGGCACAGCAATTGGTTTGGGACCAGAAGCAAACACCAAGAAGGGACAGATTCATTCTATCCTCACTAGGATAACACCTAGCCACTATTATGCAGTCCATCTACAGAACACCTTTCAGCCTGCAGATCTGAAACTCTGTACCCACATGTATTGTTGTCAGGAGTTGTGGCAGCCCTACTGTGACGAGGAGGATGGGGGTCTGGAGGACTATGGATCCTGACCAACAACTAGAGCCCCCTCCTCTGACTGATCTGAAGCCAGGGTTGTCAACCAGCCTGTGTATCGCTAATCAGTGCTGTTAACCAGCCTGCTTATTGTTAACATGTGTCATTAGCCAGTTCACTGCACCTTACAGGGTCAGAAGAAATTGAGAGCATGTGTCCACCTCAGAGGAGGTGTACCAGTTGGTCAGACAGCATTTTGTTGCACTGGTTGTCTGTTGTGAACCACGGGTCTTCCAGTGTGACATGTTCCCATCCACCTCCATTGCATCTTGACCTACACGTGCAGGCTTGTTTCCCAGGAGGAAGATCCACCCTTTCCCCTCACCCAGGACCCCCTCCCCATCCCTGTCCCTCCCAGCCACATATGGCCTGCTTCCAGAACCTCGGGCCCTAATTACTCATCCCTCCTGCCTTCCCTGGTGCCTGTGTTCTGCACCCAGCATGTGCTCAGTGGGGAGTGAGGTCAGGGGACCCAGAAATCCAGAATGTACTTGGATAAGGCACAGTCAAGGTGCATTTTGTTAGTTGTTGAAAACATGGATGACCTTGGCCTTGTGATCCTCCTGCAAGGTTACAGAAACGAGGAGGGTGGGACAGGTGCAGCTGGAGCTTCCCAGCAGCCTCTCCCTAGGTCACACACAGAATGGAGGCCTTTTATGCAGGCCACCAAGCCCAGACCCATGAGACGACTGCCTGCCCAGCCATGCTGGGGACTGAGAGCCCACCTTCCACATGGTAAGCCCCTGTGTCATACACAAGCTGGGAAGTTCAGGTTTAAACCAGGGTCAACAGCATCCAGAGTTGTGTGCTTCAGTCAGTAGCATGTACACCCCCAAATGTGTAAATCTCTTTATTAACAAGGCCTGTATGTGGCCTCTTGTGTCCTGCTATCATATACAACTTAAAACACACCCATGCCTTAAATGAAAGGAAAGCACAGGCAACTCATATTTCCTCCTGCAGGCTCTCTGTGTAGCCCTGGTGGGACGCAGGAGGGGGTGATGGCATCAGCCCACCATCTGTTCCTTTTTTTTTTTTTTTTTAATGTGGCCAGGCATGTTGGCTCATGCCTATAATCCCAGCACTTTGGGAGGCTGAGGTCAGAGGATTGCCTGAGCACACGGGTCCAAGACCAGCCTGGGCAACTTGGTGAGACCTCATCTCTACAGTAAATTAAAAAAAAAAATTAACAGGGCATGGTGGCACTTGCCTGTAGTTTGAGCTACTTGGAAGGCTGAGGCAGAAGGAGCGCCTGAACCCAATAGGTCGAGGCTGCAGTTGCTGTGAGCGTGTCACTACACTCCAGCCTGGGTGACAGAGTAAGACTTCAGTTTTTAAAAAAATGTGGTCAGCTGGGCACAATGGTTCCCACCTGTAATCCCAGCACTTTGGGAGGCTGAGGCAGGAGGATTGCTTGAGCCCAGGAGTTTGAGACCAGCCTGGGCTACTTAGCAAGACCTCGTCTGCACAAAGAAATAAAAGTAATAAGCCAGGTGTGGTGACGCACCTGTAGTCCCAGCAACTCAGGAAACTGAAGTAGAAGGATCACCTGAGCGGGAGGTTGAGGCTGCGGCAAACTGTGATTGTGCCACTGCACTTCTGCCTGGGCAACAGAGTGAGACCCCTGACTCAAAAAAAAAATGTGTAGTGACATACACTTGCCCTCTTTCCATGGTCAGAGTTGAGTTCAGTGGTGGTAAATACGTTCACACTGTTATGCAGTCCATCTCCAGAAGGCCTTTCAGCCTGCAGATCTGAAACTCTGTATCCACTAAACATTAAGGCCTCTTCCCCCACCCCCGGCACCCGCCTTTCTCTACTTTCTGTCTCTATGAACGTGACTCCCCTACGTTCCTTATATAAGCAGAATCATGCCATATTTGTCCTTTTGTGACTGACTCTATCACTTAGCTTAATGTCCTCCAGCTTTACCCATGCTGTAGCTGTGTCAGCGTTTTCTTCGTGTTTCAGGCTGAATGATATTTCATTGTGTGGATAGACCACATTGTGCTATTGACTCTTTTGAGTTTATCCTCACAAATGGAGTTTCTAAAGTGTATAGAAATTCTGTGTTTGACTTTTGGGGGCCCCATTGGACTGTTTTCCATAGGACATCTGTTGATTTTTCAGAAGTACTTGCTCGAGTTGACAGCAATCGGGTGGGAACACAGATGTCCCTGCCCGAGTCCACACACTGTGTTCACGTTGCAGAAGGTCCCGTGGTGAGGCCGGCTGGCCGGAGGACCACTCCGCAGATGGTGCACCTGGAGCCCAGCACTGAGAGACAGGCCCCGTTCAGCAGGCGGAAGAGACACCCGGATGACCCCGGCCAGTTCGCCATTGCCCTGGTCATTGTTTACCGGACGCTGGGGCAGCTCCTGCCTGAGCACTACGACCCTGATCGCCGCAGCCTCCGGTGAGGCCTGGGCATGGGAGATGCAGGGAGGATCCATTTCCATAGCGTCCTGAGGCGTTCCAAGTCAAAATCCTGGTCACCCTCATGTCTTTACAGTGACACTACACGATGCCCCTGGCCCAAGGACAGGGACTACTGCCCTGTGGTATCCCTCGAATGAGGCTCTGAGTCTGCCGCATGGGCACTGCCCCCTGCAACACTACATACCCTTTGCCCAGGCTCATCCCATTGTGGCTGTCAGAAACGCTCCCTCCCTCCATATGCCCCACTTGTGCCTTGATGGACCCCATCCTGTCCCCCCACACTCAGCCTGAGGCTCTCGTGGCGGTCCTGCTGCTGAGCCTAGCACTAAGGCCTAATCACTCAATACTGGCTGGAAACAATTAATGTCCCCAGAGGGATCTGCATAGTCCTAATCAGAAGCAAGTGCACACCGAGGTTTTCTTTCTTTTTCAACCTTGATATCATTTTCCAGTTACTTCGAGATCATTCTTAGTGACTGGGTGATCCTCCCCTGTGAGCTGTAATTATTTTGGCTTCTTTTACTGGACATTTAATTTGTTTCTTGTGTTTCTGCCATTAGATATTATGGGCTATAACATCTTTGCGCCTGTGCCCTATTTTAAAATTTCTGATGTCCCCCTTTGACCTAGAGGTGACAGGTCTCCCTCATGTACCCCATCAGGGATTAAAAAGTGCTCTGAGGATGAAAACACTGTGAGACCCACAGGTCTGTGTTTGTGGTCTGTGATTCTGTCTCTCCTAGAAAGACATCCATCCTGTGTCCCCATCGTGTTCACGCACAGGATTTAAGGGGATGCTTCCTAATCATGCCTGTCCCTGTGCTCTGGCTTCTTGACCTCAGGCTCCCTAACAGGCCCGTCATTAACACCCCGGTGGTGAGCGCCCTGGTGTACAGCGAGGGGGCTCCGCTCCCGAGCCCTCTGGAGAGGCCCTTCCTGGTGGAGTTTGCCCTCCTGGAGACAGAGGAGCGAACCAAGCCTGTCTGCGTGTTCTGGAACCACTCCCTTGCGTAAGTGTGACACCAGAAGCCCTGAGTTTTCACATGAATGCTCTGCTGAGGTAGTGTGCCTACAGGTCCTGGGGGCTCGGCGGGTGTCCCATGGGTACAGTCTATTGTTTCCCTTCTAGCCCCTTGTGGGGCAGGGAGCTTGTTCCCCTACTCTGCTTCAGGATGTGTCAGAGCCTCTCCCACATACCCGCACATACATGCACACAAACGTGCACATGAAGACACAGACCTGCAGACGTGTGTGTGTACACAGAGCTCCCTCAGGGCCAACACCCGGGATGGAGCCACTCACCTGTGGATGCAGCAGCCGATGCTGGCACCCAGTTCACTGCCAGACAAGGCCAGGCTCGTGGGCACACATGGGCAGTGGGAATCAGTAACTGACCCCAGGCCGACAGTGGGAACTCCTAGTCCAAGTCCCAGGACCAACAAAGCACAGCTTTGGGGTTGGTTTTACCCCCAGAGGCCACACCTACCCGCAGCAGGATTTGTTCAGCTTGTTTCAGGAGCAAAGTCAGAGACCTAGCCAGTAACGTGTCAGAGGCCTAACGCAGTGCCTAAGAGCATCTGTGCTGGCATCCATTTGAGTGAGGAAAAGGTGTTCCCAGTTTGAAAAAAAGAAAGTATGTGATTTTTACCCACCCACGAGACGAGATTCCGAGGCACGTTGTCATTATCTGTCAGCTAAGCAGCAAGTGCTTTTGCTTTTTAGCTGCAGGGCGGTCTGTGTGAGGTGTGGACTTATTTGAGTTGCCCTGTCTTTACAGGGAGCTTAATTTTTCTCTGCTGGCTTGTTTTCACTTTTGCCATCTCTATTTAGAAGAAAACAGTAGAATTGGGGCATGGGTGGGGATGGCCCTTGTTGCCAGGACTGATGCACAGCCTAGAACATAGAGAGACCTGCTGCTTCTCCACATACCAGTGGAAGATGCTAGAAAGGGTTGATACCACATGCATGGGATTCAGGGAGTCAGAGCCTGAGTGCCCCCCACGCCTGAAGCTGGGACTGAATGTTGTGTGTCCCGGTGTTCTCACGCGGCAGGAACATTTCCCGCATCACGATTCCTCTGGAGTTAGAGGACAGCCACAGGTGGGGGCAGTGCTGGGCGCCAACCTGAGCTGAGCAAGCTCATGCCAGGAGTGTGTCCGGCTCAGCAGAGAGAACCTGCTGCATCCTCCTGCTGCTGTGCTTTCCAAATTCGAGTTAATAAGCACCCAGCACAGTGCCTGGAGTATAATAGGCACTAGGCTTACAAAGAGAGGATAAAGGAACCCCTTTCATGACCAGGGACGTCAGGCTCGGCTGTCTTTGGTTGTGCGTTTGAATCCTGGCAATTAGCCCCAGTACTAATGATCTGTCTCTGCTTTATGTTGCACCTATTATTCCCCAGATCTTAAAGTTGGTGGCAAACATATTAACTTTCACATCCTATTTTACAGATGAGGTAACTAACAATCTGAGAGTGGTTACATGATTTTCCCAGAGTCCAAGGAGGGTAGGGCCCTGTCAGTGGTCGAGACACACCTCGTAACAGCTTGTTATTTGGGGCTTCCCATCAGTAAAATGGGAGTAATAATTGGGCCCTGGCTTCCAGGCAGTTCCCATAAAACGTTGTGCAATCTGAAGATGAAAGGGTCAAATGAGCACGAGGTATTATTTCTGAAATCATCTACACTCAGAAGAAGACTGGAGACAAAGCTGCTGTTTGAACCACCAGGTCATGTTTCCAACCACCAGGTCATGTTTCCAACAACGGGGGGTGCTGTGGATGTGAGAGGCTGCCGTTGGGGTTTTACTACTAGATGACACATGCAACTTGAACTTCAGAGGGTGCTTCTTAGAGACACCGACCAGTCACAAAAGAGGAGGGAAACTGTTCACACGGTCCTACCCACGTGGTGGACATACTGGCCTATTGTCCTCATAGCCAGGTGACAGTGGCTCTCATCTCAAAGCCGTGAGGATGGTGAGGAGGACAGGCGGGAGCCATCTGCGAGGGCACCGGACTTGCACATGCACAAGCGACAGTGCTGTGCATCGGCCCCGATCCTTCTGGGTTCAGCAGCATCAGGATGGCCTGGGAGCCCTGAGTCTGGTTAAAGACTGCCCTCCAGCAGGCTCCTTGGTGGAAGGAGTCATTTATTTCACCTCTACCTCTTCCCCCTTTCCTCCGCAGCATTGGTGGGACTGGAGGGTGGTCAGCCAAGGGCTGCGAGCTTCTGTCCAGGAACCGGACGCACGTCATGTGCCAGTGCAGCCATGCGGCCAGCTTCGCGGTGCTCATGGATGTCTCCAGGCGTGAGGTGGGCACCCTCCCCTGCCTGCCCAGCTCTCCTGACAAGTGTACCCAAAGGCTTATTCCATTGGAAACTGGAAATTGAGCCTAGGCCCCAAACCTACCCCCTCCACTAACTATATCTTTCTTTCTAAGCGCTTTGACCAAACCAAATCAACCGATTAAAAAACCTATTCTAGGAGTATTGGCCAGAATCTGTGAGGATTTCCATATCAAAGCCCATGAAAAGGGTTTTCACAGAGCCTGGTTTGTGCATTAAAACCCACCACGGCAAGCCCTATCTATGCACAGGCCCAGAAGGAGCTTCTGGAATATGCCCCTTGCTTCAGACCTGGTCTGTTAGAGGATGCTGCTTTCCACCTGTTTTGAATTGTAAGGAAGAAAGAGACAGCTGTCGGGTACAGCAGGGCTATCTTGCGACCTCAGGGCCACATGCACTAGCCTGCTTAAGAACTCCCCTACCCCCAGCAATGGGTAGCTAATGTTTAACCTCTGGCATCTTAAGCGGCCTAGGAATGTGAGCCAGCCATTGTGGACCTGCAGATGAATTAGGCAGCAGGGCCCGGAGAGGCGAAGGCCGTGAGAGTCTGTTCTGGCCTCCCATCATCAGGACAGGAAGGTGGTGTGAGGCCAGCTGGGGTGTGGCATATGTGAGATCCTGGTATTTAGAAGCCAGAGCCAAAGGCCTAGGTGACCTTCCCGGCTGATCCTGTCTCCTGGGATGTGGCTCGGGGCCCCAGGCCACTGTCCCTCCCAAGGACTTTCTGATGTTGAGTGGCCCTTAGTTCCTGTCACATTCTTGGAAGTGTGAGTCAGCCTTGAGATAGGCCTGGAGAAGGAGATTGTGGGTTTCTGTGTGATGAGCAGCTAAGCTGTAACATGGGCCTGCCAGGTGCCCACCTGCCACCCCCGTTCCCCCCCCCATGGCACTTACAAACAGGTTAGGGCCCAGCCTGGAGGGGATTAATTATTAGTGATCTTTGTGGGATTTGGGGGTTGTCCCATGGCCAGGAAGCTGGGCTAAGAAAGTTGAAATTGAGGCAGAAGAAATGAAGCTTGAATAGGAGTCAGAGGCTCCCACACCCCAGGGCACCTCAAAGTCAGAGGTCTCTCAATAGCCCCCAAGCCAGTGGATAGGAGTCTGGGGGCACTGCTGTAGGTGCCAAGGCACTGGAAGGAGCCTCAGAAAGGGCAGTTCTGGGCCCAGGGCCGTGATCAGCTCAGCCTCTCCAGCCCATGCTAGTCCTGGCTTCCTCTTATTTCACAGGGCAGCCCCTGGCTCACAGTTCTACATCATAAGCAACACCTTCCAGAAGTTACCGGAGAATCAGGGTGTGTTGTTTCCCAAATGCAGAAACTTCCCCAGGGCATTGGGTCCTGGATAGGTGTCCTACTTTGTGAAAGTCTAGAAAACACACAACAGTGTGAATATACTTATTGCTGAAATGTATGCTTGAAAATGACGGCTGGTCAATTTTATGTCATGTATATTTCACTATAGTCTTTTTTAAAAAAATATATGTTGACTGCCCTTAAGAAATGTATCATAAGGGATCCGGAAATTAAAAAAAATAAGTCAGTACAACATGAGGTTTTATAGAGACATGAGCAGTCAAGACAGGAAGTAGCTTTACTTGAGATCATCACAGAATACTTCATATGGCAGTATCTGTAGGATAAACAGGAACGGAGCCCCTGCCAAGGGATATGATGTATATGAAGAGTCAGGTTAGTCCTAAATTACTGGAACATAAAGCTCCACCCCTGTCTAGCTGTGTGACCTCTGGCAAGTTATTCAACCTCTTTAAGCATTAGTTTTCTCATCTGTAAGATGAGGATAGGCCGGGCTCAGTGATTCACACCTGGGGTACCAGTACTTTGGGAGGCCGAGTTGGGAGGAACACTTTCGATGCCAGGAATTCAAGGCTGTAGTGAGCCATGATCACACCACTTTACTCTAGACTGGATAGCAAAGCAAGACTCTCTCTCTTAAAAAAATGTGTTGAGGATAATATTAATACTTTCCTCAAGGTTTTGATCTAAGGATTAAATGAAGTAACACCCTTGGCAGATGTAGTAACATCCCTGCCACATAATAAGTGCTCAGTAAAAGGTAGTTATTCATGTTGTCCTGCTACAAATTACCCTTTTCTTTGTAAAGAGGGAATAATCTCCCCTGGGCTGTGGACCGGTACCAGTCCATGGCTCATTAAGAACAGAGCTGTACAGCAGGAAGTGAGCAGCAAATGAGCAGAGCTTTTACCTTCTGTCCGATCAGTGGTGGCATTAGATTCTCATAGGAGCACAAACCCTATTGTGAACTGCGCATATGACCTAGGTTGCGCATTCCTTATGAGAATCTAATGCCTGATGATCCCTCCCCTACCCCCTCACAGTCCATGGAAAAATTGTCTTCCACAAAACCAGTCCCTGATGCCCAAAAGGTTAGAGACTGCTGTTTTAGCCCAAAGAAGAAAATCTGCAATAGGATTAAATGAAACAAAGCACAGGAGACATTGCAGGCTCCTGCCGCTGAGACACATTTGCCTTTTGCCTAAACTGAGAATCCATGTGGAAGGTTTCTGCTAGTTCAGAATTTTGGGCGAGTTCTATCAGAGCCATGGCTCTTACCGTCTCTCCTGCTTTTAACCCACCTGCTCACAGCACGGGGAAGTCCTGCCCCTGAAGATCATCACCTATGCCTCTGTGTCCTTATCGCTGGTGGCCCTGCTGGTGGCCTTTGTCCTCCTTGCCCTGGTCCGGACACTGCGCTCCAACCTGCACAGCATCCACAAGAACCTCATTGGGGCGCTCTTCTTCTCCCAGCTGATCTTCGTGATCGGGATCAGCCAGACAGAAAACCCGGTAAGGCCACCTCCTCCCCTTTCTCCCCGGCCCGTGGGCTTCCCGTGCCTGTGCTGTTACATAGGCGTTGTGTTATCGCACGGATCTGTTCTTTCAGTCTTCCAGCAAGGCTCACATAGGGAAGGATTCTTTCTCATCTTTGTGAAGAGGGAGTTTCCTGAAATTTCACTTCAGCACGTGCACCAGGGAATCTCCTGGGAATTGGTGACTCTCAGGCCAAGTCACATGGTCTTGTCACCACTTTGCATCCAGGAAGGATCCTCTCTTCAAAGCCACCTGCAGGACCCAAGTCAAAAGGGCCAGGAGCTTCCTACCCATCTAGTCTTATCCTCCTAATGTGACCACTAGTGATTGCATAAGAAATTACAGCTATTTGTCAAGTCCCAGAAGCCTTCAAGCTATAACTAGAACTTTCATGGCCTTGAAGACACTGCGTCTCCTTCCCCTCTGCATTTTCCCCATTTTCTGTGGAAGCTCATGTGTGTCCCCAGAGAGGGAGACAGATGTCCAGGACAAGCCTAGGATGTGGGGAAATGGTTCTAGATGGATGTATGGGTTGAAAAGAGTAAATGGGAAGGAGAGATGAGGGCAAGAGAAGAGAAAAAGATGGGTGAGCCTTCAGTTGATCTGATTAAATATAGGGGTGTCACATGGACTCATAGGGTGTTTCTTGGGCTCCTGGGGTATCACACAGGACTTTGGTGTATTCTGTGAGCTCATGAGGTATCCTGGAAGCTCTTGGGGTATCATATGGCTTCCTGGGGTATCCTGGAAGCTAGTGCGGTCAAGTGGCTTCCTGGAGTATCCTGGAAGCTCGTGGGGTGTCCAGCCAAATATGTAAAGCTAACAAGTTTCTTCTGGACAGATGATGATAATCAGGCCACCTTTTCCTAGACCCTTGATTTCCTCTTTTAAACCTCCGAGCCTTCCAGCTTGGGGAAGGCCAGTTCCTTGGAGAGGGATAGACCCAGACCCATGAATTGCTAAGGTGAGTGAGAGCCAGCACTGCCAGCTGGAGTCTTCCTTCATGCCCACTGGGGAAAATGAGGCTTTTAGGGTGAAATGAAGGCTCTCTTGCATTGCAGCTTTCCAACAATCATAAGATAATAACGATGGGGAGTGGTTAGCCCACGTTTGGGCTGTGCCTGGTACCATGGTAACCGATTCAAGTGTACTGGCTGGTGCTGTCCTCCCCACCACCACCTTCACTTCACTTCACTGATGCTCCTTTAAGGAATGTGTCTGAGACACATGACTACTGGGTGGGGTGGTGGGGTTCACGGGCAAGCCGTTGGACTCCAAGGACCAAGCACTTTACCACCTTGTCTCTTTCTGAGGAGATAAGCGGCCCTTTCTGAAATTGTTGGAAAGAGCTGACCCACATTAGATAGCTGCTGCATTAACAATGGGCTTTGGGTGTGTTTAACCCTTTACCTGTAGTCACCATTCACACACTCAGTAGGTGTACATTGAATGGAAACCCAGCAGAGGATGGAACAAGAGGTCCAGGGTCCACTTCCTGGAGTTGGTCCAGGTCCTGCCCCCAAAGGGGATGCACCCCCCACTCTGAGGTTGCTCCTAGGTGGGGCGACTATAGGGGCTGCACTAGAAAGCGACTTTTCAGCCAAGATGGAAAGCTGGAGAGAGATTCACCAGACAACAGGGAATATAGAAGACACCGGAAAGCATGCAGGGTGGCAGGATCCAGGTGAGGAAGGGAGGTGAGAACCCTGTCCTGTACCACCCTGCAACTGAATGAGAGTCCCACAAGGCAGCCTCTGTCTTGACTGGAAGTCCAGTCCATATGCATACACTAAGGGCACTAGTCTCAGACAGAGGTAAGTAGCTTGGCCTCGCCAGTGAAATACAGTCAGGAATTGTCCAATCAGATACAAATGAGACAACTCTTACACAAGGCATAAAGGTCAAGAGTAAAAGGGCCAGGCGCCGTGGCTTACACCTGTAATCCCACCACTTTGGAAGGCCGAGGCAGGAGGATCACTTGAGCTCAGGAGTTCGAGACCAGCCTGGGCAACATATCAAGACCCTGTCTCTACAAAACATTAGCCTGGCATGACGTCATGTACCCATTGTCCCAGCTACTCCAGAGGCTGAGGCAGAAGGATTGCCTGAGCCCAGGAGACTGAGGCTGCAGTGAGCCATGATCATGTCACTGCACTCCAGCCTGAGTGACAGAGTGAGACTCTGACTTAAAAACAAAAAAAAAGTAATGAAAAAGAATATGACAGATAAATACCAACTGGAGTAAACCTGAGGATCTTTGCAATTATCAAAGTAAATCGGTTTCAGAATAAGCAGCAGTATTTAGGGATAGAAAGGGTTACTATAGAATGATTTAAAAGGTCCATTGTCTGGAAGAAATAAACTTCTAAATTTTTACATACTTACTAAAATGAACTGAAAATATGCCTATAGAAAGCACAGCTTGATCTTAAAAATTCCAGGGAGATTGATAAGAATCATAATGAAAATTCTGTTAATAAAAGTATCACGTCAGGACATATAGTATGCAATAAAAGCAGAGCTGAGGAACTTTTCTTAAGTAAATCTTTTCTTCTTTAAAAAAAAAAACAGAGCTGAGTGGTAAATTTAGAAGATAATAAAGGAGATGATGAAAAGCAGACATCAACAAAATAGACAATAAAGATACAAGAGGAAACAAAGCCATAAGTTGTTTTTTGAAAAGAGAAATCTCTGGTGAGACTGATGAGGAAAAAAAGACTAAAAGCACAAATAACCAATTTGGAGAAGATTTGCTAGTTTGAACAATTTAATGCTCGTATATTTGAAACTTACATGAAATGGATATGTTCTGAGAAAAATATAACTCCTTTGTCAGAAGTGATTCAAGATTTAGAAAGCCTGAACAGTCCTATAACCATTAGAGAATTTGCATTGGTGTATAAAAAAATCATACCCAGATTGAGTTTATCTTAGGAGCACAAGGGTGATATAGCATTATAAAAATCTACAATTGTCATTTAAGGGGAAAATATGATTTTACTCAGAAATGAATGTAGACAAGAATTTTGATAGATGTCACACTTACTAATGATTAGAAAGAAAGAAAGAACCCTTTAAAAAACTAGGAGTAGGAAAAACTCTTTAACCTCATAAAGGGTGTCTATGGAAAACCTACTGTTGACATAAACAATAATAGGAAAATATTAGAAGTATTTCCTCTAAAATCAGGAAGCAACTTCACCACTCTTTTCATTTTACTAAAGGGCCCAGCCAGTGCAGTAAACAAGAAAAATACATTACTGGCATAGACGTTGGAAAGGAAGAAACAAAGCTGTCATTATTTATGAGATGATACAAGTGACATGAAGGATCTCATAGAAAAATCTAAAATAATCTTGAGACATATCTGAGAAACAAGTGGAGAGCTTAGCAAACCAGCTAGCTGTTATTGGAGATGTAATATATATAAAATCATTCCTGTGCATCTGCCACCAGTGTATTTAACATGTAATTTACAAATGTTGAATACGTTTGGCTGTCACTGGGAGGAAGGGAAATGCAGCAGGGCTGCAGCAGGGGGAGCTGGGGCTTGTGGAGCTGCCACGGGATTTGAGCTCTTTGAAAAGGAAATAGAATAATACAAGAGGGAAGGGTGGCCAGGCATGGTGGCTCACACCTGGAATCCCAGCACTTCGGGAGGCCAAGGCAGGAGGGTTGCTTGAGCCCAGGAGTTCAAGACCTGCCTGGGCAACATAGCAAGACCTTGTCTCTACAAAAAATAAAAGAAATTAGCGAGGTGTGATGGCGCATGCCCATGGTCCCAGCTACTTGGGAGGTTGAGGCGGGAGGTTTGCTTGAGCCCAGGAGTTTGAGGCTGCAGTGAGCTGTGATTGTGCCACTGCATTCTAGTTGGGTGACAGAGTGAGACTCTTGGAGACAAGGTCCCCGAAAAGTGGAAAGGGACCTAGAGGGGTCCAACTTTGGAGGCAGCAGTGGTGACACGCATCCCTGATGACAGGTCAGTGAGTAAAGCACAGGGAAGATAGGCTTGTTGGGCTTGGTGTGGTGGAGACACTTGCAGGCCACAGTTAGGTGGGAGGTGGTAGAGCCAGGATGGTACACTGGGTCTCTGGTGCTGTTTCAACTTTTGTGTGTGTGGAGGTGTTGGAATCTTGCTCTGCCATCTGAGCTGAAGTGCAGTGGCTCACTCACGACCACCGCAGCCTTGACCTGCTGGGCTCAGGTGATCTTTCTGCCTCAGTCTTCAAAGTAGCTGGAACTACAGGCACGCGCCACCATACCCAGCTAATTTTTTGATTTATTGTAGAGATGAGGGCTCACTGAGTTGCCCAGGCTGGTCTCAAACCCCTGGGTTTAGGCAGTCCTCTCACTTTGCCCTCCCAAAGTGCTGGGATTACAGACCTGAGCCACCACGCCCTTCCTTGCAGACATTTAACCACCCAGAGGTTGGAGCTCAAGCCCACCTGTTCCACATGGCGTATCATCCCCAGACCTGCTGCAGCCCGCTATTTATGTGTGGTATTTCACATGTCCGTCACTGAATAGTGACCACGTGCATTTGGAGTGACCTTAGGAGGTTCCAAGGTGACTCTCCTCTAGACCTGATCACTCTCTCAACAGCGTCTTGTTTGGGAACAGTGAGCCATTCTAATGCTGCCACCTGCTGTTGACAGAGCTGTCCTTTTCCCATTCCTTGTACAGAGGATGAACAGGACCACCCATTTGTCACCCAGTAGAAGGGGTCCAGGATGAGGAGTAGGCAACAGGTCGGGGGCCAGGTCACCTAGAACCTGAGGGCCACACCATCTTCCTCTTGCAGCAGTATTGTGCCATGAGAACTGCAGCCAGGGTTGCGTTTTAGAAAGACAAGCCTGGCTGCAGGTAGGCAATGGATGGAAGGGGAACCAGGTCAGCAAAGCAGCCTGATGGTGTGCTCATAGGCCAGAGAGGTGGGGTTGTAGCCCAGAACTGAGGCCAGGGCAGCAAGAATGAGGAGGAGGAAAAGACAGTACCAACTGGGCACAGAAGGAGCACGAAGGAGGGGCTGAGAGTAACTTTAAGATCTCCAAGGGGCGTCAGGCTTGGTGTGATGGCGCCTGTAATCCCAGCACTTTGGGAGGCTGAGGCGAGTGGATTGCCTGAGCCCGCAGGTTCAAGACCAGTCTGGGCAATTTGGCAAGACCTCGTCTCTATAATAAAAATTTAAAAATTAGCCAGGCGTGGTAGCGCGTGCCTATAGTTCCGGCTGCTTAGAAGGCTGAGGCAGATGGATTGCCAGAGCCCATCAGGTCGAGGCTGTGGTGGCTGTGAGTGTGCCACTGCACTCCAGCCTGGGCGACAGAGTGAGACTCCAACTCAAAAAAAAAAAAAGATCTCCAGGGGAGCACTGAGTAGGTGAAGATGCCACTCATTGAGATGTGAGATTGGTCATACCCATGGGGGGCTGAGGAGGGTGCAGGACTTGAGAATGGAAGCAGGCTTCAGGAAACACAGTCAAATAAAAAGACCAAGATGAAATTTTCCAGCTAGCTATTCAGGGCTACGTGCAGACTTCTTCCTCTTTAATTGCAAGCAATGGGACCCCTCAAGACTCCTCTCAGGAGGAGAGGGTGGGCACTCCCACCTCACAGGCCGATCTTGAGAAGGTTCCGTTGATAAACTTAGTGCTTCTCAGCGGGGACAGTTGAAGCACCAGACCTGGCACACAGAGGACAGGCCCCAAAGCGTATATCAAATGGACAGGGGCCAAACCTTATTGCTGCCCTCCAGGTGTTCCCCGTGGCCACGGTGACGGGGGCCAACATGGCAGAGCCGATGTGCTGCTGTGGCGGCTTCTTCACACGCACAGCTGGGCGCACCCGCACCTCCATGCCTGCTCTTATCAGTGCATCAGACCGAGAAGGCTCTCGGCAGGAAGTGCTTGATTCATTTCAAAACCCTTCAAGTGTGCTTTTGAGTGGTCTGAATAGAGGCGGGGAGAACCCACAAGCCACTCCTTGCAACTACATACCACGTGTGAGATGCCCAGAGGCCGTCCTCCTGGCACAAGCTCTGACTCATCTCCTGCCTGGAGTGGGAGCTCCCAGGCGGCCATGCACTGCTGAGCACGAAGAAGAGAAGGAGGCCCGCAGAGTCCCGGGGGCTTGGCATCGTGCCTGGTTTTTATGGGTTTTTTTGTAAACTCACAATCCCATCTCTGGGCGAGGTTTCTCATCTCAGACCACTGGCAGGCTGAAATGATTTATTGTGCGTTTGCGTTTTGTCTTTGTTCTTTTTCTGGGAAAGGCAGTACATTTCGTGGAGAGGTCTGCGTGTACGACCCCACTCAATTGAAGACTTAGTTCTAGCGCTTTCTGTTTCCAAAAGGTGGTTTTGTGGGCTTACTCTTCACACTGTTTAAGGCAGCGGTCCAGCCAATTTTCTCGCCTCCTTCCTTTTCCTAAGCCAGCATGCTTTCCACTCAGGAAACTGGGCTGTTGGTGTGAGGATCATCAGTGCCAGGCCCACGCCCTCAGCCCATTTCCTGATGAGTCCAATGTCCCGGGCAAAGGGCATGTCCCCGGTCATAACATAAGACTATTTTTCTTCTCCTTTGGTTCCTGCTGTGTTGGGTCTTTGACAGATAGTAATGCGAAAATGGTTCCCTCCCACACCTCTAGGACTTTCGTTTCTGGGGAATACTGGGAGGTGTCTGTCTAGCCACCCTGGAGCCTGCGCTCTGTTGGCCTCTTTTGGGGTATGCTGACCTGGTGCCTAAGTAAAGTGGCATCCAGCCTGGGATCAAGGTGGCAGCCCTCTGCTTTCTCAACCCTCTTGTGTATGTTGGAGGTATCTCCCTGGCGAGGATGCTGAGAGCCCTGGCAGGTGGCCTGTTGGGATGGCTGCAGAGGATTGGATATGTCGGGTGTGAGGCCAGCTATGGATGGGACTAGGTTTGGGGCCCAGATATGGGGTAGAGAACCAGGGGCGAGGCTCAGCTGTGGATGAGGCCAGGTGTCAGGGGGAGGCCCCAGCTGCAGGACAGGCCAGGACCTTTTTTGCCTCTCCCCTCAGGGCTCCCATCTCCCACTTGAGGGTCTGGTTTCCTGGGACCTGGAGGGGAGTCTACTGCCGTCTTCCAGCAGGTCATCTATAGGAGCACAGGCCGGGGCAGCCCCTCCTAGAGAGCCCTGTGTGAAGTTGCTCTGGGTCACATCTTCAAGCCCAGTTATGGAGTATGTGGGACTGGATTTTCACTAATGGCCTCAGAGGCTGGACTCCGGGTGATCCCAGTGTCCCTGTCCCCTCCCCACCACTGCCTTCCTCCCATTCTCACACCGCCCTCTGTGTCCAGGCAGGCAGGGCTGGCTCACCCAGATGGCTCTCCAGCGGGTTCAGCTGCCCACAGGGGCCACACACTGTCCCTCAGTTGCCCTGTGGATGTTGATTCTATCTTCCCAGCACCCACCCATTGGCCAGACACATAGCCTCGCCTAGTTAAAGACCAATGTGTAGAACAAATGCTCTCATCCCTGTTCTTTCTTTGATGGAAATTCATTGATCACAGCACAAGGAACTTGCTATTTGCCAACCAGGTCACTGCATGGGGCTCCTCCCTTCCTCTGGCTGCACCCGCTGGGCCTTGGGGACCTCTGTGGGGTCAGCAGCAGTGGTCATAGGCCAGAATCATAGTTTGGGACCCTCACCCCACGCAGGCCTACCTACATGGTAATTTTTGTTTAAACATTAGATGCCAACATTTAAAATTCTGGAATCATCACACAAAAGTCTATATTTCTGGCTTCTCTCAAACTAGATGCTCTGTCCACCCTTGTCCCTGAGCCACACTCACTCATGGTAGTGATCCCAGCCAAGGAGGGGTTCCTGGGTGCCTCACTCCTCTGTGCCCTGTCCTACAAGTGAGACCCTGAGATGCTGTGATTATTGGTGCTTAGCCACTCCTGAGTGAATTAAATGGGAGAAGCAGTGAACTTGCTTTCCTTCTGCAGAAGCTAGAGCCCCTCACATCGGTAGAGTGGTCTGACTAGGTCACTTCCCCCCCACCCCTACCCTGGGCTCATGCTCTTTTGGCCTCGGCCTGTGGTACAAGAGTCCTTGCTGAGCCAGACCCCATGCTCTGCACAGTCCTTGTGCATTGGGCTTTCTCTCCCTCCACCCAGATGGGGTCCTCACTGAGCCTGATCCCCTCTCTGAGCCCTGACCCCCTCTTTGTGCAGTTCCTGTGCACTGGGCTCCCTCCTCAACTCAGGAGGGCCCTCTCTCAGCCGGGACCCCTTTCTGAGCCTACACCTTCTCTCTGTGCAGTTCCTGTGCACAGTGGTCGCCATCCTCCTGCACTATGTCTACATGAGCACCTTCGCCTGGACCCTGGTGGAGAGCCTGCATGTCTACCGCATGCTGACCGAGGTGCGCAACATCGACGCGGGACCCATGAGGTTCTACTATGTCGTGGGCTGGGGCATCCCCGCCATCATCACAGGTGAGGATGCACGGGTGGCCCTCCCAGGGCAGCCTGCATCACAATACAGACTTCCAACAGACCCTGGCACAGTGGGGATCCATATGTTGTTGTTGACATGAGAACTGAGGCCCCCAGCTGCAGCAGGAAAAGCGGTCGGTCCTTCCTTCTCTTCAGTGCCAGCCCCAGTGCTTGTCCAGCCCCCAGCAAAAGAGGGCCCAGCCCTGCATGTTTGTCTGTACACACGAGGGCAACTGCTCAGTGCCCACCTGGAAATATCTTCTATAAGGTGTGAGCTCCTTGAGAACCAGGCCCAGGTCTGTTCAAGGTTCTGTCTGCAACACCTAACAGACAAAAGCTCCATGTCTGCCCACTGGATGGGTGGGTGGGTGGATGGATGGATGGATGGATGGATGGATGGATGGATGGATCAGTGAGTAAGTAAGTGGATGGATAGGTGGGTGGGTACATGGTTGGATGGATGGATGGGTCAATGAGTGGATAAGTGGATGAAAGGATGGTATATGGATGTTGGATGAGTGAATGAGTGAATCAGTGAACAGAACAGCAGTGCTTCCTCAGCACACTTTCCACTAAAAATCAGAAAGTCACAGTTTGCTTCCTGCTGAGAAGGAGCCACCTTTTATACAAAGACTGGGGCAGAGGTAATGGAGAGGGGGGACTGCTGTCCCCAGGGCTGTGCCCAGCAGCCACCCTGGGGCCAGAGCACAGTCAGTTGCTGATCCATCCTGGTTCCCACAGTGACACTCCTGATTAGTCTTCTCCCACCAGACAGGTTCCTGGGCCCAGGTGTTCTAATATGACTCATCACCCCTCCAAGGGACCCCAGAGTACTCTTTTTACTTCTACACACAGCTGCCGAGGCAGGGCAGGGTGGCCTGGTGGCAGCTGGCTGCTTTTACTCTTAGTGCGACAGGGAGGTGATATCTTGTCCCGATTAGGTGGTTATCGTGAGAGAACATTGAGATGAAGAACATGTCGTGGAAAATGGTCTTTTCAGCCACTCTGTGTAAAAACAGCTCAACCCTGGCTGGGCTCAGTGGCTCAGCCTGTAATCCCAGCACTTTGGGAGGCGGAGGCAAGTGGATTGCCTGAGCCTGCAGGTTCGAGACCAGTCCGGGCAACTTGGTGAGACCTTGTCTCTACAATAAATAAAAAATTAGCCGGGTGTGGTAGTGTGCACCTGTAGTTCCGGCTACTTGGCTGGCTGAGGCAAAAGGATTGCTGGAGCCCAGCAGGTCAATGCTGGGATGGCCGTGAGTGGGCCACTGCTCTCCAGTCTGGGCAACAGAGTGAGACTCCAACTCAAAAATAAGAACTCAATCCCTCAGATGAGAGTGGTCCCTCCACACCTCTGTTGCATTTCCCACATGAAATGCCCCTCCCTCCCTGCCTCTTGAGACAGCTTTGGAATCTAAATCCAGATATTTCACATTTCTAACTTGCTTTAAGAACATTTTTTTTAAAAACACTTATGTTTCTTAGACGTGTTCATCAAATGATTCCCAAGGAACTTCAGACACTTGAGAGTGTTGGCTGACTGCAGCTGCCTTGTCCAACTGTCTGGGCCTGCACTTGTCTCAGTGGTCATGGCAAAGTGTCCCTGGCTCCTGGCCTGCAGGAACCCAAGGTGAACTGAGTGCCAGCTGGTTCTTTGGGGACTCTGCTTTCCTTTCTTCTTTCTCTGTCCCCTCCCGGTCTTAGTTGGCTGAGTAACAGGATCAAGAGGGTGCATTTGTTTACTCATTCATTCATTCGTCTCTCTCTTGAGTCCTCTCTTAGGCCTTGCTCTGTTCTAGGCCTGGGGTCAGAGCAGTGGGTGAGAACAGCGAGTTACCCTTTCGGGCCTGATGGGCGCTGAGTGACAGCCCCTTTACCTCTAGGTTCAGCTGCAGACCCCACAGAGCTCGGGGGTGGGGGTCCTGCTCTGGCCCTAGGAAGTGCCATTTGTGCTGGACCTAGAGGGTGGGGAGTGTGCTGAGGGTCTTTTTCCTGTGGAGACTCCAGCAACTGGTTGGGGACTGACCAGAGGCCAGGACAAGGGGCAGGGGTGCACATGGACTCAAGCATCCCCATAGCCAGATGACTCAGGGCCTTGAAGGCCCCGTGAGCAGCCATGTCTGTCTCCAGAAGGCAGTGGACAATCACTGGAGCACTTTAAGCAGGAGGAAGACATGCTCTTTTAAAAATTTAAATAAGGAGAATAGAGAGGAGCTTGTGGAACAGCCCAGGCTGGAGGAATGCACAGAGCAACCAGGTCACACCTGCCTGTTTCTCCCCCCACAGTTCACCTTGATGGTTACATGGACAGGTAGCCTGAATCTAGCTGACACTTGGTTTTTAGAACAGTGGCTGTGCTATAGACGGTTGCCTGACCATTTTAGTGCAAGGCTGCTTTGGGGGTGTGTAAATGGTGTGTATATAAATATGTGTGCGTGTCTGCACGTGTATGTGTGGCATGTGTGGACACACATGTGGCATTTGGTGTACATATGTAGTATGTGTCTGCATATGTGTGTGTGCATGTGTATGGGATATGTCTGGACATGTGTGTAGTGTGTGATGTGTATATATACATGTGTGATATGTCTGCACATGTGTGTGTTTACATTCCCTCACCCACCCACTCACACGCACCCTCTCTAGTTGCCATCATCCTCCATCCGTCTCAGGGCCTTCTTCCCTTGCACCTTGGGTCGGTCATAGCCTCCTAGCCTCTGCATGGCCTGACTAACAAGGCCTTCCCAATCGCCACCGGCCTTCACCGTTCCATCCATGCTATCTTGTCCCTACCCTCCTGGGTCTCTCTGGTGTTCCCTGGCAGCCCCTGGCCTGGGGTAGGTCCCCATTCTCTGGGGCCAATCCTCAAACAGTTCCTACCACCTAGACGCATGGGTACACAGCAAGCCTGTGACTCGACACCAAGAGAGTCTGCTTGGAGGGGACCTGGGTGGGCTCGCTAGTCTTTGTCACATCCAGGCTGTTTCTCTCAGGTCTCCTTGCTTTTCCCTCTGGGAGAAAGATGCCGGGTCCCCCATTTGTTCCTCTACCCTGGCTGACCCTCAGGGTAGGGGGGTCCCTCTCCTATATTGGCTGGGGGACAGCCATCTGAGCATGTGGCCCTCACCTTTCCTTGCCTTCCTGCTGTGTCCAGGACTCGCGGTTGGCCTGGATCCCCAGGGCTATGGAAACCCTGACTTCTGCTGGCTCTCCCTTCGTGACACCTTGATTTGGAGCTTTGCTGGACCCATCGGAGCAGTTATAATTGTGAGTGCCGGGGCCTTCATGGAACCCGAGATTCTCAGGGACACAGGAGCCTGGATGCCCCAAGGGTGTGTTGGGCTGAAAGGGGAGTTCTAAGCTGGCTAGGATCACTGACTCCTCTGAGCATCTGCGGTGGGACAGGGAGGGGTCATCTCATAGTAATGGTCACCAAAGCCACCAGACCATTTCCGGACCTTGCCCTCAGGTCTGTGGATTTGGGATTCTATGTCATGTCCACCATGAGAATGCTCTGTGTCCAACCCCTGGGAGGGTCCCACACAGGCAGCCTGGGGGTGGTAGGTCCTGCCAGGGCAGCAGCTAGAGGAGCCGTGGCCTGGCCACAGGTCAGCCTCACCCAACAACTGAGCCTCACTCACCGGCCACACTGCCCTGAGCCTCAGAAGCCCATGGTGACAAGACAGAAGAGTTGCCCACCTGACTTGGATTTTTTTGTTTTTGTTTTTTTTAGATCAACACAGTCATTTTTGTCCTATCTGCAAAAGTTTCCTGCCAAAGAAAGCACCATTATTATGAAAGAAAAGGGATTGTGTAAGTTGGGGCTGAACCTGCCTACTGGGCGGGTCCTGATGCTGGACCCATCCCACCCAGCGGTGTCGGCAGAGCCCTGAGATCCAAATGTTCCAGTCAGGCGGGGCCCCATGAAAGTACCCGTCACCAGTGAATCAAGCCCTTTAGCCACCCATCAGTTCAGCCCCAGCTTTCGAGAAACCGAGGACCGTAGGGGTAACTGGCTGGGCAGGTCCGAGGGCTGAGTGACAGCCATGTGGATGGACAGGATCAATGGGCCATGGTGAGAGGGGCCATGAGGCCTGAATACTGTCTGAGCTCTACTGAGCAGGGTCTGGAACCGAGTCACATTTGGACCTCATGGAGGAGGGCTGGGTGGAGCCTGGCCTGGGGAGCTGGGATGAGCCTTGGGACCTGAGAGGTCTCTGACATTGGATCTGCAGGGTGTGGTGGCAGGCTGGCTGAGGGAAGAAAGAACACGGGGTTCCGGGCCTCAGTCTGTCTCACCTGGCACGGGAGCATCCCACGTTCAGGGTCAGACACATTGTCAGTGTTGAGGTGCCTAGAAACCTCAGGGCAGAGGAGGCTGGGGGTGGGAGGGATGGAACTTTCCAGAAGATCCCCGTCTCCCATGAAAGGGTGCAGCAGAAGAACAGGGCCCAGCACGGAGGGAACCACCAGTGTTCTAGGGTTGGGGAGAAGAGGGGACCTACAAAGCCCCTGAAGGAACAGGCAGCATAGCAGGAGGACAACATGGTGTCCAGGAGCCACGACAGGGTCAGGAGGGGATGACAGAGGGGTGATTGATGGGCAACTAGGTGGCCTCTGGTGACCTAGCTAGGGGTGGGCAAAGGGATAAGGCACGAGGAGGGGCCATGGGGCAGCAGGGGGGGCGTGAGGAAGAGAGCAGAATCTGAAGCAGGTGGTGGAGAGGGAGGGCATGAAGCAGGGGTCAGCCTGGAAGCAGAGGCAGTGGGGGCTCAGCCTCCCCTCCTGAACCTGGCCACTTCCTCTATCTCCGGTCCCATCCCTGACACGCATGGACATTTGCAAGCTCTGTCACCTTGACACATCCCATCCCTTGGGAGAGGATGTGCCATTGTCACTCTCTTTTACAGATGGGGAGACTGAGGCAGAGAGAAGGGAAATCACTGCAGGTCACACAGCTCATCAAGGGCGGGCTCTGACCACTTCCTTCCGCACCTCTCCTCACGTCTCCACGTCTCACATGAACTAGCCTGGCCCTGTACACCAGGCACTCGTGTGACCCAGGGTCACCTTCCAGGGTGCTGTGGGCAGTGGCCCATTTAGCTGTCATGGTTCACCTTTATCTATGTTGTGTATTTGCTATCTGATTGCCACGTTCTACCACCATCCCCGCAGACATAAGCTCTGTTTCTGCCTGGTCCCCCTTATGAGCCGGGGCCTGGCTTGAGGGTGCTCAGAAAGGGCTGAGGAAGGGAGGGTAGGTAGATGGGTGAATAGATGGATGAATGGGTAGAAGGGAGGGGGCTGGGCAGTTGCAGGGCTGGATGGAGGGGGGACTCATGCCACCCTTCCCACAGCTCCCTGCTGAGGACGGCTTTCCTCCTGCTGCTGCTCGTCAGCGCCACCTGGCTGCTGGGGCTGCTGGCGGTGAACAGCGACGTGCTGAGCTTTCACTACCTCTTTGCCATCTTCAGCTGCCTACAGGTAGGCCTAGTCAGACTTGCCTGGTGGAGCCTCTGCTTGGACGCTGTTCCAGCGTAGCCACAGTGCGAGCATGGGCTGCGTGAAGCCCACTGCTCATAGCCCGCCGCCAGGAAGGGGAGCCTGTGGCCCCAAAGCTGCCTCTGTCCGGCCCTGCCCAGGCCCCTGTGCCATAGGCCTCCTGTGTCTGTCAGGACACAGTCCTTTGCTCGGCTGGCCCAGGGGTTCATTCCCCCTCCCTGCTGTGTTTGGGGACAATGACCCACTGCCAGGCCAGCACAAATCCCACTATGGGGCCGGGGTGGTCACACCGAGGGCTGCCCAGCAAGTTGCTTTATGACTCACTGGAGATTCCGGATGGCCCCAAGGACTGTGGAAGGGTCTCCCAGGAGACTGTGGCTCCCTCCCCTCCTGAGAAAGCAACAGCCCCTGGGGAGGGGAGGCCTGGTGTGGCCTTGGTGGGCACGTCCTGAGCCATGTCGTTCAAGCTTGCAGTGTGCCTCTGCAGCTCCACACACAGGTGGCTGTACTCTGGGCATCTGTGGGCAGGTGGGCACCTGTGAGGCTGTGCTTGGCGCTGACCCCTGCCTCCCTACCCCCAGGGCCTCTTTGTCCTCCTCTTCCACTGTGTGTTCAACCGGGAGGTCCGGAAGCACCTGAAGGGGGTGCTCACTGGGAAGAAGCCGCACCTGGACGACTCAGCCACCACCAGGGCCACCCTGCTGACGGTAAGAGGCATAGGGGATACCACGGGACCTGGGAGGTGGATGACACCACTCATGGTGGGGGGCACTGAGGGTATGAGGGTCAAGCATGAGACCTGGTCCTGCGGCCTGCATGTCTCTGATGAAGGGTGTGGCAGAGGTACCTTGAAACAGAACTGGGAAAGTGAGCAGAATTGATCAGGGGAGCCGGGAGTGGTGGCTTATACCTTGATCCCAACACTTTGGGAGGTCAAGGCAGGAGGATTGCTTGAGTCCAGGAGTTCAGGGTGAGCCTGGGCAACATAGTGAGACCTCGTCTGTACCAAAAAAAATTAAAAACTTAGCTAGGTGTGGTGGCACAGGCTTGTAGTCCTAGCTACTACTCAGGAGGCTGAGGAAGAAGATCGCCTGAGCCCAGGAGGTTGCGGCTTGAAGTGAGCTGTGATTATGCCACTGCACTCCAGCCTGGGCAACAGAGTGAGACTCTGATTCAAAAAAGAAAGGAAAAGAAGGGAAGGAGGAAGGGAGAGAAGAAGGAAGAGAGGGGATGAAAGAGGGAAAGAGAGAAAGAAAGAATAGGCCAGGTGGGGCCACAGTCACATCATGGGCCAGGGCAGACGGGCCCCTGACCAGAGCTCGTGGCCGGAGGGAGGGAGGGTGGCGTCCTGTGACCACAGTGTGAGCCGGATATTGCTCTCCTCCTACGGCCATGAGGCTCCCATCTGCAGCAAGGACTTGCTGCTCTGTGCCGGCCTTTCCTGAGTGCCAGGCAGGGCCTTGGCCATGGTACTGGCGTGGGGGACTGGCAGTGGAGACGGAGCCACCCTCTGTGGCGGTCACATGGTGCCCGTACCTAGCAGTGACCAGCCCCGCCCCTCCCCCAGCGCTCCCTCAACTGCAACAACACGTTCAGCGAGGGCCCTGACATGCTGCGCACGGCCCTGGGCGAGTCCACCGCCTCACTGGACAGCACCATCAGGTCAGCCGGTCGTGCCCTCCCTCGTATCTTGAGTGGGGGGAAGTGGCTCTCGGGCCGCCCCAGGCTCTGTCACCTCTGCCCCAGCCTGCCAGGAAGGCCCCAGCCTTGTGTCCTGCCCTTCTCGTTGACCTGTCTTTCCCCTGCACGCTTGGGGCTCTGTGGTCTTTGCTGTTGTCATTAGCCGGAGCACAGATGGGGCGGTGGTAGAGAAGCTTCCAGATCATCTTCCAGCACCATCTGCCCCCTGAGGGCCAGTGCTGAGCCCACCCTCCCTGTCATCTCTAGGGACGAAGGGGTCCAGAAGCTCAGTGTATCCTCTGGGCCTGCGCGGGGTGGCCACGGAGAGCCAGATTCGTCCTTCAACCCTCGGAGCACCAAGAAGCCCCATGGTACTATTCCCCTGGAGGGCACAGGAGACTTTCGCATGTTGGTGTTTGTCCCACGTCCCCTCAGTGATTGGAGAACATACGCCCTTGAGGAAGCGTTAGCAGCCTTGTCATACTCAGAGTCAGCAGGGACCTGGCTGTCCCCAGATGCCCGGGACGCAGGTTCCTCTGCATGGACCCCCTCCTCTCCCAGGACCTAAGTCTCCCTGTCCCCACACCCCACCTGCAGGTCACGATTCAGACTCAGACAGCGAGCTGTCCCTGGACGAGCAGAGCAGTTCGTATGCCTCTACACACTCCTCGGACAGCGAGGATGATGGGGTCGAGGCTGAAGACAAATGGAATCCAGCCCGGGGCCCCGTCCACAGCACCCCCAAAGGTGAGCCTGTGGGGCCACGGTGGACCGGGCTGCACCCCAAACGGCAGGCTCAGGGCAGGGGTTGGCTGTGGCTGGTCCCCTGCCTCCCAGGTCGCGGCCAGCAGAGCTGTGGCCACCCAGAAGGAGAGCCTAGGTGGAAGTTCCCAGAAGGCCCCCCCCTACCATTCTCCAGCAAAGGCAGGAACATCTTTGTGGGGGGCGCTCAGAACCATCACTTCAAGGACAGGATGAAGCCACCAGAGGGCAGCCACCTGAGCATTGAGTACAGGAGGGAGACTGTCACCGAGGGTCCCCCCTGTCGGGACTTTTCCTCTCTGGGCCTCGGTTTCCCTACCTTTAGGGTATAGCTCAGGCAAGCCTGCAGGCTGGGGAGTGGGGGGTCAGGGCCACTCTCCAGGGGGCCTACCTGTAGGTGGCCCGTGCCTGGCTGCTTGCTGAGTGCTGCCCTTGGACCTTAGCAGACACTGCAACCAACCACATCCCAGACGGCTGGCCCAACGAGAGCCTGGCAGGCAGTGACAGTGAGGAACCGGGCGGCCAGCCACACCTGAAGGTGGAGACCAGGGTCAGCGTGGAGCTGCACCGGGAGGAACATGGCAATCACTGCGGCAACCACCCCCCAGACGCGGAGAGCGGGGGCCCGGGCAAGCCCCCAGAGCAGAGGAAAGGTGCCTCAGGAGGAACCGGTGTCTCCGGGAAGCTGGAGGACAGGGAAGGGCCAGTCCCTCCTCCAGAGGGAGGGAGATGGGGCCTGGTGGGGAAGGGTGAAGTGTGGTGGGAGCTGGGGGGTGTCTTTAGGGCAGGTCCAGGTGGGGCAGGACTGAAGGGGTGGGGCTTGGGCGGGACGGACATGGCCATCCAGCCCAGCTACCTGGACCCGGGAAACCAGGAAGAAAGCACATGGCTGAGGCTGGCTCAGATATGTGGAGACCAACCCACTCAGAGTCGCTGCCCCCAGCAGTGTCTACCAGAACGTGACCTTGCCACACTTCCCTCCTCCCAGGCATCTTAAAAAACAAAGTAACCTACCCGCCGCCACTGACGGAACAGACACTGAAGGGCCGGCTCCGGGAGAAGCTGGTGGACTGTGAACAGAGCCCCTCGTCATCAAGGACGTCCTCCCTGGGCTCCGGCGGCCCCGACTGTGCCATCACTGTCAAGAGCCCGCGGCGAGAGCCTGGGCGCGAGCACCTCAACGGGGTGGCCATGAATGTGTGTACCGGGAGCGCCCAGGCTGCCGGCTCTGACTCGGAGTGAGTAGCCTTGGCCCCCTCCCCCTGCTCCAGGAAATGCCTGGAGCCCACCGCACAGAGGAGGCCCAGGCAGGGGCTGAGGGGCTGCCTTGCGGATCAGGAGAAGCCCTCTGGGGATGGACAGACTCCTTGTCCTGGGGTGGAAGGCTGCATTAGCCAAGCCCCAAAGTCCTGAGTGGCTCTGAAATGCTGGGACTGAAGGCTTTTGAGTTTGGCATTTTATCAGGGTTGTCTGCTCCGCCCAAGATCATTACTACCCATTTGATGGCTGAGAAGACTGAGGCTCCCAGAGATCCCCGGCGGCAGCAGTATGGAGCTGGGATCGCAGCTTCAGACCTCTCCTCACCCTCCTCCCTCCTCCCTCCTCACTCCTCACAGACTTCCAAGGGTGGGGCAGAGGATGGGAATCAGGTCTTTTAAAATCAATTTAGCTGGGGTCAGTAGCTCTCACCTGTAATCCCAGCACTTTGGGAGGTAGAGGCAAGAGGATTGCCTGAGCCCAGGGGTTCGAGACCAGCCTGGGCAACTTGGGTGAGACCTCATCTCTACAATAAATCAAAAATTTAGCCAGGCTAGTAGTAGCAGTTCCAGTAGTAGTAGTTCCAGCTATTTGGAAGGCTGAGGCAGAAGGATCGCCTGAGCCCAGCAGGTCAAGGCTGTGGTGGCCATGCGTGTGCTACTGCACTCCAGCATGGGTCAGAGTGAGATTCTGATTCAAAAAAAAGAAAGGAAAGTTTGGATTCTGTTCTTGTTACTCCATGCTTACTGAGAGGTGACAGCACATGAGCAGAGGCTGTCCTGTGTTCTCTCCTGCCTTCCAGGGCAGCTGTGGGCAACACGAGCTTGCCTTCCCTGGAGCCCCTGGGTATCCCCTCTCCCCTGAGTGGGGGAATTGTGCCCTGTATGAGATTGGATCCCACCCAATGGCCATCCTCACTGACCCTACACCCGCCTGATGGCTTCTTCCCACGCACAGAGGCAGTAATGAAACTTCAATTTGAACCATCAGGAAACCGTGAGGCAACCCCATCACCTTCACACAGGCTGCTGCATCGTTGAACCCTCGGACCTTGGAGCCCAAGGAGCCAATGCATGGAGTAAGGCAGGCCCCGAGTGTGGGGTCCCTGCGGTGGCAGCCCCACGACTGACAGTCCAGACGTGAAGCCCTTGGCTCTCCCAGGGCTCAGGGCCTGTCAGACCCTGTGACGAGTGCCAAAGGCCAAGGGCACAAGGGAGACGTGGACCACTAGGCTGGCATAGCTCGGACCTCAGACTGCATGCAGAGCCAAAACCGTGCTGCTGGCCTAGAGTGAGAGAAGCCACCGGGCCAGGCCCAGTGACTTGCCAGAGTTTGGGGACGCCGGCCACAGACCAAAGACTGAGGTCCAGCCGCTCATGCAGTACAGGCCTGTGGCCAGCAGCCTGGACAGCCCCTTGCAAAGGCACCCCTTGTCTTAAAGCAAATGACTTTGCTATGTTGGAAAGGTGTACTTTTATATATTTGTATGAAACTCTGAGAACTTGGAAACCTATGTATATTTTGCATTTGTACTGATTCTGTTGACCCTGGGAGGTCCGTGGAGTGGTCTCTCGCTGTTTTCTATGTAAGAAGATTGCACAATTGTACTTGAATCTGGCATGCGCTGACGATACTGGTGCCTCAGCAGATGAAAGGTAGAAAATAAGTCGGCAGTGATGTGTTACTTCTGCGCCTGCTTTCAGCCAGTAAGCAAGGAACAGTGAGAATCTCCTGCCGGCCGCCAGAGTTCCCAGCACATTTGCAGTTGAGTGTGTGTGCCCTGAGCTCCTGTCTACCCCGACCAGTGTGGACCCAAGACAGGGTAGTCGGGAACCCGGCAGTTGAGGAACCTTGCTGAGGTCAGTGTAGGACAGTCTTCACATGGCTGTCATTTTCGCCTGGTTATTCCCCAAGCACCACCCACACACCCCTTGTCAGGCCCCACTCTGGGCCTGGCGAGCCTCCCTGGAACCCTTCCCAGGTGGCTTGGGATTGCAGGTGGGGGACTGCTTTGTCCTGCTGCTCCTGCTCCTTATGGGATGCTAAAGCGTCATAGGTTCCCAATTCAGACAGAGGCGCGTGAGGTCTTCCAAGGTGTCACATTCCTTCCTGCCAATTTTCTAGCTCTTTGAGATGCCGAGGATCTCCGGGCAGGCTGGGGTCCTCCCCCAGAGTATGACCAATTACTTCATTTTGCTTCCAATGGCCAATTGTGCAGGGGGACAAAGCCGCAGCCACACATTTCAATGGTTACTAAACTGTTTTTGGAAACTCATACCAAGGACTGGCTGGGACTGTCTCACTGTGGGCAGTTGGCACAGCATGGCCCAAAGGGCTATGGAACGGGGCCCGGAACTATTCAGACACGTTTTATTTCAGTGTTTCCTTTGTTCTTCAAATCAAGTGCCCAAATAATTGATCAGCACAGCTGCTTCCAAATATGATAAACCACAGAATCAGATGAAAATCAAATAAGATGCAAAGATGTCCATACTGTATAGGTATTAAATTAGACACTGATGAGAATGTGCGCACTGCTAGCACATGACTGCACGGGAGAGGAAATACCTACCTGCAAACGGTCTGAGACAGGAGGGAGAGGAGAGCCCGCAGGCCCCACACCTGGATGAATTATAAATGTGCCTTAACAGGTGAGTGGCCTTCAGAAGACATAAAGCTAGAGTCCCTTCAATGTCTGCCACTGATGACACGTTTTCTACATACGAAAGGTTTTACTGTTTTTAAGTCTTTGGACACTCCACATTCTCACAACTGGATTTCACCCCGGAGGTGCAGTTTTAAATTTGATCAGAACTGTTACCAAAAAACAACTGTCCATTTTATTGAGACAGGAAAAAATTTAAACTATTTTTATTACTTAAGACTTTGAGAGAGATTAGACACTGGCGGTTTTTAACAAATGTGTATTTATTAATGTTCAGAACACTGGAATTACAACACAAATGAGAAGAGTCTACAATAAATTAAGATTTTTGAATTTGTACTTCTGATATGCTGGGGTTTTTTTTTCCCCACCTCCCCTCCTTGTAAGGCAGCCATGGAAGTTACCATTTATAGGATTCAACAGGCCATGCACAAGATGTAGATAGTGCTCACTATGGAGTATCTATTTATTTATATAGACAGAGTCTTGCTCTGTTGCCCAGGCTGGAGTGCAGTGGCACAATTATAGCTTGCTGCAGCCTCAATCTTCTAGGCTCGAGCAGTCCTCCCACCTCAGCCTCTCAGGTAGTTAGGACTATAGGCACATGCCATCACACCCAGCTAGTTTTTTTTACTTTTCAGAGACAGGATCTGGCTATGCTGTCCCGGCTGGTCTTAAACTTCTGAGCTCAAGCAGTCCTTCTGTCTTGGCCTCCCAGTGTGCTGGGATTACAGGCCTCAGCCACTGCACCCAGCTCCAGTGGAGTATTGTGCTGGAACTTTCTGTCCATTTCCTTTCAGGCTTGCCACAGCCTGGATGGGCAGGCCCTATTTGGGGTTTTTTGAGATTCTTGAATCTGTAAATTTATGTCTTTCACCAAATTTGAGAAGTTGTTAGCCATTTTCTTCAATTTTCTTTTCCTGCACAAATGTCTTTTTCCTCTTCCTATGCAATTCCAGAGGAATTGTTAGACTTTTTGATATTGTTCCACAGGTCCCAAGGCTCTATTAATCTTTTTTCATTCTTTTTTTTCTGTTCCGATTTGATCATTTCTGGTGGTCAGTCTTCAAGTTCACTTAATTTTTTCCCCCTCTGTCATCTCCATTCTGCTACTGAGCTCATCTAATGCATTTATTATTTCAAATATTATAATTTTCACTTTTAAAATTTCCATTGGGTTCCTTTTTGTGCTTTTTATTTTCCTGCTGGGGGCTTCTAGTTTTCTGCACATCCAGGGGTGTTTACCTTTACCTCATGGAGGACTGTTGTAACTAAGGCATCTGGCTTATCTTTGGGGCTGAAAATCTGTCTTTTCTCTCAGCATTTCCCTGGTTCCCTGGTTGTGCTGAGTAATTTCAAATTGGAATCCTCAGTTGTCATTTGGAATGTTACATTAGACTCTGGGCTGTGCTAAAGCCTCTTTTTTTTTTTTTTTCTTTTTTGAGTTATAGTCTTACTCTGTTGCACAGGCTGGAGTGCAGTGGCATACTCCTGGCCACCGCAGCCTTGACCTGCTGGGCTCAGGCAATTCTTCTGCCTCAGTCTTCCAAGTAGCCGGAACTACAGGCACATGCTACCATCCTGGCTAATTTTTTAATTTATTGTAGAGATGAGGTCTCACCATGTCTCGAACCTACGGGTTCAGGCTATCCTCTCACCTCAGCCTCCCAAAGTGCTGGGATTATAGGCTTGAGCCACCATGCCTGGCCTAAAGCCTCATTTTAAATGTCATTTTGTTTAAGCAGCAAGCAAGCCCATTAGGTTCTGACCACTAGTTCTGTCTCACCCTATGGGAGTGGCAGGTCCCAAGGCCAGGGCAGTCATAGCCTCTGCTGTGCTCTTTTGGGTCTGTTGTACCCACATGTGTAGGTGAGTGGGGAGTTGGGTCAGCACACGTGGAGAACTGGGAGGTTCGCTTCTCTAGTTCTCTTCTCACTGGGATTTGCCTTGCATTTCTTAACTCCTAAGGCCCCTGTTCTTGGTTCTTCTGTCTAAGAAGATGGATTTCTCCCAGAATTCTAGCCATCTGCACTGTCCCCCACTTCTCTCAACTGGGCCTTCCCTCAGGGAAAAGCAGTGAAAGCAAAGAGAGAGAAAAAGAATGGGGAACCCCCAACACTCTTCAGTCCACAGCTCCCCTCTCCCCAGGCCTCTCTGGAGTCCCCGCCCAGGTGCCAGCTGCACAGCGCCCAAGATCAGGGCCTCCCTAGGGTCAAATCTGAGAAAGAGGAAAACCACCCACAAACACCTCCCCCACACCCTCGGTCTCTTTTCAGGTTTTGCTTTCTCCCACATGTCTGCTAATGTTTACTTCCCAGAGTGCTCAGTAGTGAACATGATAGAGGATATTGATCCCAGCCAAAGCCACGATTAACAGAAAACTAGAAGCATTTGGCAGCCAGGAACAGGCCTATCCATCATCAGTGGGGCCTAGCTGTCTACCTGAGGGCCATAAACAGTTGGGCCAGATGGGTCAGGACAAAACAAGCCCTCCCCAATCATGGCTGAACACATGTCAACAGCATGAACACTGCCCAAGTCAAGGAATGTCCAAACACCTTCTGGCCCAAGTAACAGGAGTGATGTGGTTGCTCGACCAGTCAGCTTCAGCCTCACTTTGGGCTCCCTGCCCTGGAGACAAGACTTGTTAAGATCCCCTAAGGGGGCAGGGGCTTGATCAGGAGCATGGGAAGGCTCCGGGGGGGGGGGGTATGGGGCAGCATGAGAGCCAGGAAATGTGGGCAGAAGGCAGGCTGATGGTATTTGAAACTGGCTAGGGCCTGGGGAGGAGCCTCCCAGGCATGAGGGAAGGGTGCACCATCCTGGATCCGTTTCTCAGAGATGACTCTGGAGTCAGCGTTGGGGAAAGGAGAGCCAGGGATATGCCTGCGTTTCTGTTACAAGCAGGGAGCAGGTGTGTGCAAGCATCCAGCTCTGGGCCTGGATGAGTTTTTTCATTTCCTTCGGCTTCTCTCTTGATCAGTAGGTATGGCAAGTGGCCAGGGCCCAGTTTAGGGGTGCCCATCAGGAAAGGGGGGCTACTGTCCAACCCTACTCTTCCGGCATCCCCAGGTCTTCTAATGGTCATCTGAGGGCACAACCTGTAGAGTCTACTGGCCTCAGAGGGCAGGGCCAGAAGTCCAACCCAGATGTGGCCCAGTGGCACCCCCAGACTGACAGCTGCTAAATCTGAGACATTGCCCAAAAGCCCTCCAGAGTTGGCTGGTGGCTTTGAGGGAACATGGCAGAAAGGGCAGCACTGCAGTCAGAAGGCTGCTGTGGGTAGAACCTGGGGACCTGAGGGCAGGGTCAGGCTGCATCCCTCCCTGCTCTCCCTACTGGTCAGCATGCAGGCCCTGAGGGTGGCAGGACAGCAGAATTGCCAGAGGCTAGAGGGCAGCCCACCCTTAGTCCAGCTGGTGCCCACACAATATTATGCCTGGCTGTCCCCTCTCTCCTGGCTCATGTTTCTGTGCCCTGGGAAGGTTAGCCCAGGGCAGAGCAGAGTGGACACCGTGGGGGCTCTTAGCCTCAGGTGCCAGGCTCCAGGCCCGGCCACGGCAGTAAATCGGGGAAAACTCGAGCCCAAGGAGGGTCTGTGCTGCACTCTGAGCCAGCAGAACAAAGGTTGTGCTTCAGTGCAGCCTCCATGCTCAACTGGGCCGAGGGTCCCCCAGGGCCTGATCCCCACCGGCCAGCAATGTCTCCTTGGAGGAGCTGAGGCCTGCCTACTTCCACCTGGCGAGGGCTGCTGTGCTCCACCTCAGGCCCTGGTTCTGGCCCACTCCTCACCCTTGAAATGCTCCCTGCAGCATGGGGGCCAAGGCTGGAAGGAAAAGTGCCCCAGATCAGGGGCACTCGGTGGGAAGGACAGAGGCTGGGGAAACGGTAAGAGGCTAGGGCGAGAGGAGGCTGGGGGCTGACTCTAGGATGGGAAGGAGATGCTAGTGAGACCCTCTTCCACAGCCAGATGACAGGATGAGCAGTGCTCCCTTCTTGCCCACTGGAAGGATGAGCCCTGCTCCTTGGATCTGCAAACTACAGCTCTGCACCTGCCCCAAAGTGTGGCCTGTAGGGGTTGGGGTTGGAGGTGGGTGACAGTGGGTTGCAATCAATTCCAGTATCTGAGGCCTCTTGGTCTCTACTATGACATATACCTCTTCCCCACAGGTTTGCCAACATCATGGGGCAGGGGGAGCTGAGTCCTCCCCAGTCCCACTGCAGACTGGGTGTCTGTGCCACTCCAGGGACTGGAGACACTGAGGTGAGGAGCCTCTGCCCAGCCTCTGCGGTAGTATGTGGCTCGTGGCCCACTCAGTGGCCTAGTCATGAAGATCTTTTTTTTTGTTGTTCTTTTTTTGAGTTGGAGTCTCACTCTGTCACTCAGACGGGAGTGCAGTGGCTGCTCCCGGCCACCCCAGCCTCGACCTGCTGAGCTCTGGCTATCCTTCTGCCTCAGCCTTCTAAGTAGCTGGAACTACAGGCGCGCGCTACCACGCCTGGCCAATTTCTGATTTATTGTAGAGATGAGGTCTTGGTGCCCAGGCAGGTCTCGAACCCGTGGGCTCAGGCAATCCACTCACCTCGGCCTCCCAAAGTGCTGGGATTACAGGCTGAGCCGCCGAGCCCGGCCCATCATAAAGATCTTGTGCCACAGCCAGCTGCCCCACTGCAGGCCCAGGCCAGCTCCTGGTGGCAATTAAGCCAGCATGGTGGCCCAGCGTCTACCCACCTTTGTGTCACGCTGCTCTCAGCTGGCTTGGGTCTCCCCAGCAATCTGCAACCTCCCCACCAGACCCAGGGGAGTGTCCGTCCTGGTCAGAGGGAACAGGAGCCCAGCGCCTAGCCTCCCTGCCCTCCTCTTCCCACCCCAGCCTGGAGGCTGCTCTGCCCCCAGCTCACTTCCTCCTTCTGTCCCAGGCTATGGGCAGCAGGACGAACACCAGGATCTGTTTTGGCCTGTGTCCTGGCATGCCATTGAGAACCAAGGGTATCTGGACAGTGTCTGGCTTTCTAGACCCCGAGAAACAGAAAGGCTCCACCTGGTACTGAGGGCAGCTGTTTTAGTCATCGATTCCTCTCGCAGCTCCCATTACTTTCTCTCTGAGCTTTTAATCCAACCCTCTCTGCAACCATCCCTGTCCAAACCTCTACAATCTACCTGTTCTGCCTGCTACCTATGGCAGCTCCCAGGCCCTACATGCTCTGGGGCCTGGTCACCCTGCATTGTGCTCCTCCACTCTTCCCAGCCTCCCTTTTCGTCAGGTGTGGGCTCTGGAGGGCTGTGGCCCATGGGGAGCAACTGTGAAGCCACCAGAAGGCAGGTGGAGCCTAACTGACTTGTCCCCCCCCCCCCCGGGAAGGTTTCAGCCCTGGAGGTGGCCTGACCTGGGGCTCAACCCTGCTGCTATAAGATCCTGTCTCAGAGCACCCACAAAGTGCTGCGTCTCCAGCGAGAAGAGGAAGGGGAAGACATTGTCACCCAGGGCAGGTGCTCTGGGGTCCATGACCTGGAGGCCCCAGCCCTGGGTAAGAGCAGCAGAGAGCCTGGGGCAGTGAATGGAGAGGACAGGGACCTCCGGGCAGGGAGGACAGGTTCCCATGGCTCACCCCTTGGGGCCCACCTGCCTTTCCACACTCTCAGAGGGTCAGTGGTGTGGAGCCACCACAGCAGCTCAACCGGGGCCCAAGGGAGGCAGAAATCAGACGCCACATCCCTGAAAGTATGTTTATTTAACACTGTCCGAGCAGCCGGGGTAGCCCCCACCACAGCTTCCCTCCACAGGCTAGAGATTGAAACTACCCCCCGGAGAGGGAGAGACAGCAAAAGAGGCACTCTAGAAATAGGACCTTCGGGACACACCCGCTAATCAGCAAACGCTTCTGGCTGCTGGAGTTCCAGCTTGGAGGAGACAGGGCCCTCCTGGAGCTCGCCTGGGCTCTGAAGGCTTTGCAGAAGCTGACTGGCCCAGCTGGCTCTCCCATCCCAAGATCTCCTGCTTCGGGCCCTTGGTGACTCGCACTGTCCCCTGGCCGCCCACCACTGGGCCCTGTCCTCACAGGCCTCCTCCAGCAGCTCGTCTCCATCAGAGTGAGGGACGCAGGCTCGGGCCATCACCTGGGATGCTGCCAGAGCCCTCAGGAGCTCCTCCGGCTTTACCCTGGCCCTTCTGAAGTGTGTAGGCCGATGGCCCCACCCGCAGGATCTTCCCGCTGCCCAGGCACTCGTCTCCTTTGTAGAACACGGCAAACTGGAGAGGAGGGAGGGGCCCTGGGTCAGGCGTGCTCAGGGAGCCAGGCCTGATGCCACTGGTCTATGACTGAGACAGGGAGGGGCAGCGTGATCTCCGGAGCTTCACCTGTGCTTAGAGCTCCAGGCAGGGCCTGCTCCTCCGCTCTACCTGCCCAGGTTCTCGAGGGGTAGTGGTCCACTGCTGCTGTTGGTGGGTGGGAGGGGCCTGGTACTCCCAGCAGCTTCATTAAAGAGGGCAGTTCAAGATCAGGGTCCCCTTCCCTGAGTGGGACAGCCACAAGGCCCTCTCCACATTGGCGGGTCTCTGCAGCCCTCGAGAATCTGGCAGATGTGACCAGAGGGAAGGTGTTGAGAGCCTGAGGAAGCTTTCCCCGCCCTCCCTCACTTCCTGGGCAGTTCCTGCCCTTAGGAGAGCCCTCGGGCCCACACCTGAAAGCCCAGCCTGCACCCTCTCTTGCCCACTCATGGTCAGGGGCCCATCTTCAGAGCTCCTGCACACCCTGTCTACCTGTTTTCTGCCTCCAATCCTCACGCCTATGCCCCTTTTTGTCCTCACACCTGGGGCTCAGCCCTGAAGCTTGGGCCTCCCAGTGGCCAAGCAAGAGCCAGCTGGAAGGAGAAGTCAGAGTGGGAAGTCTCGTGGTTGTCATTAAAGGAAAGGAGCCTCAAAGTGGGGTGGGGGTACTGTGTGACCCGAGCACCCCTGCCCCTTCCTGGGCCTCCAGCCCCTCCTCTGTAAACCAGGTGCCCCGGTGGAGATAAAGCACAATATGGTCCTTTCAGAGCATGAAGCACACTAACCCCATCTGATGTCATGGGCACTGAGGACTGCGCTCTCCAGAGCAGAGCTACCCAGGTACCTGCCATACGTGGATGGCAAAGCTGAGACCCTGCCTTCCAGCTGGGTATCCCCTCTCGGGCTTTGGAGCACAATGAGAGCTGGGCTCACCCTTCCGATCTGCGCCACCTACTCACCTGTCCTGGGGTGAGGGCCCGCACAGCCCTCACAGCTGTCAGCCACACAGTACCATCTTGATTGAGAGTCAGCACGCAGGGCACTGGGCAGAAGAGAGAGCTCTTGGAGGGGGGCACAGGCCTTGCCTCATCTGGTTAGTCCCAGGTTGCAGGCCCCCAAGAAGGATCATCAGCCCATGGAGGGAAAGGACTCCTGCTAGGATAAGGCAACATCCCGAGAGACTCAGAGCTGCCAGTGTGGCCAGTGGACATGGCAGGACACCTCAGGGGCAGCATATACACTGCTGCCTAGGCCAGCACACCTGGGTCCTTCCTGCATCAGGCAAAGGAGCACATTGCTCCCTGCGTCCTGGCCTCTCACAGAGCAGGCACAGACTTGGGAGTTTCGAGTATTTTATGTCATCTCCACAATGGGGACCTTCTTGCCCAGATCTGGCCCCAGGAAGCTCAGCTCCAAGGGGCTTCTCCTTGAGATCCCTCCCACCTAGTCACCTAGTGCCATCTGGTGGAAGAATCGGAAGTGACACTCCATCATCTTGTCCCGGACCAAGGCCGAAGGCGGCTCCTCGGCGATCCAGTGCACGCGGTTGGTGCGCAGCAGGTCCCTGTACAGGGCCGGGTGGTCAGTCCGAGGGGCCTGTGGAGGGAGAGGAATGCGAAGGTGGGGATGCTCTGGAGCCCTCAGCAGAAGGGCCTCTCACCCCAAGGCATGCCTCAGTGTAGTTATCAATAACAACAATCTTATCAGCAAATGTGCACTGATGACTATACTGGTGCCATTCTAAGTGAGGCCTGCCGGCCTGTCTGCCTGCATCTAAGAGAAGGCCCCCCTGTATTTGTGCCAAAGAACAAGACGGCAGTCAACTTGCAAGGTTTCTCAACCCAGGTGCTCTGAGATTTGGGGCTTGGTAGATCTGCTAGGCATGGGGGTTGGCCCGAGCCCTGCAGGCTGTGTAGTAGTGTCCCTGGCCTTACCCATAGATGCCAGCACTACCCATTCCCCCTGCTCCATACTCAAGCTGTGACAGCCAAAATATCTCCAGACACTGGCAACATCCTCGGGGTGGGGTGGGGGCACAACCCTTTTGATAAGCCCTACTTTAAGGCACAGGTCACGGTAGCTACGATTCCTATAATGGCAGGCGGCCTGGTTTAATCCTGGCTTGGCCACTGGCATCTACCTGACAACTTACTAATCCTACTACGGCTGGCACTGTCCGAGGCACTGAAGCTACCACCTCTCCATGGGACCACCAGCAAAGTACTTATTAATCTCTGGCACAGTCCTCTTGTAAAACCAGATAAACAGTATCTGTTTTTAGGATTAAGTGATGATTACCAGTGACCACTGTACAAGAGAGACAAAACCTTCGGCTTCCTCAGGTCAGTCCCAGAAGAATGCAGCAGGAAGGTGAGGGGCAGAGGACAGGGACAGAGTCAGTCACAAGCACTATGAAGCAACAGATGCTTTCTCAAGCCCTGGTCCCATAAACACTGCCAGCCCCACCAGAACCAGACTTGGTGTCTACCTGCAGACCTGCCCGACTCACCACAAACACGTCGCCCTTGGTGCCATCCTTCTCCACCACAAACCACGGCTCTCTCAAGCCACTGATCTTGGCTCTCTGGCCCAGAGTATACAGGAACCAACCTACGGAAAGAGCTTCTCTGTGAGCCTGGAGAATGTGTTCCATTCTGAATGTCACACCTCTCATAAGGGGGAGAGAGGATGCTGGACCACTGAGGGCAGCCCAGAGCAGGCCTGGCAGCAGTGTGGCTCACTCAGAAGCCATGGTTCTCCCACACCCAGAACCAGCCCTGACCAAGCACCTGAGCACACTCCATCCTCATCCAGACCTGGCTGGACATGAGGAATGTTAATGGTGACCAAGGCCGTGCCTTGTACCCCCGAAGGAGCAACTTCTAGCAATAGGAGCACCTGATGTGAGGGCACAATGTGGCTGAGAGCCCATGTGAAGCCAGGAGCCCCTCCTCACTGAGCCTGACGTAGCTGCGCTTCCTAAGATGTGTCCACTCCTGCCCCGCTGTAACTGTGGCAGGGCTGCCTGAGTTCTGTGCCCAGTCCTTTCCTGGCTGTACTTGGCATGCCCCCCGCACCCCGCAGCACACAGCTCACTGCCTCCTGCTCCTCTGGAGAGGTGCGTGCATAGGCAGAGATGGCCTGATGGGATTCACCATGTTACTTCAGTGAAGCCTGACAACTGAATACAGGGCAAACAGTCCTCTAGCCACCTTCTGGCAACAGGGTTGGGAACTACACCAGGCAGTTCTGTGTTGGGCAGTTCTGTCTCCAGAAAGGTTGTCACCTTCTCCAGTCTCAGGAACAACTGGCCCCACTTGGCTCTCCCTCCACAGGACGTGGAGAATGTCCAGGTGCAATTCATTGTGAGACTCCCCACATCTGAGCAGCAGCCCTGTCCTCCTAGCCAGTTTCAGCTCAGGCCTGCGCTGGTCAAGACTCACCTAATTGTCAACGCTGGGAGGCTGGCCTCAAAACTGCACCAATCGAATGATGGCCACACTATCTGGCCCTGTACCAGGACTGTGAGCCCTTGTGACTAATTAGGTCCCCATCATCCCCATAGCAGCACAGCATAGGCTCATGGTGGCCCTGCCCCAGTAAATGTCTGCACATGAATGAAGAACACACCACCGTGTAGCAACCTGCCAGAGTGGAACACCTGACCCCATTGCTTCCTGTGGTCCTTAATCACCCACGTCATGCTGTGAAGTCCACCTAACTCCCTCCATTAGAGTGGAGTTTTCTGTAGTTTAACATTTTCTTCAAATAGTGAGAAAATTGTTCTATTTACAGGGACCTGATTCATAATGCACAGCACACAGTCCTTCCAAGTTAAGTCAGATGGGGTACTTTTACTAATTCCAATGTTTCGAAGGAGACTACATCTTGAGATGCACAAAGCCCCAGTCAACATGACTGTTGAATCCCATGCCGTGTGTACCCATCCCAGCATACCCTGCAGAGCTTCAGAAGAGTCACTGGCTGATATGGAAGGGATGGCAGACATCCTGTCTAAATTTTTCAGAGCTGAAACCCCACGACTTGAGGAGTTTAAGATGAAAGGCGGCCAGAGACTGTATCTCACCTTTATGTGTTCCCAGAACTTTATTGTCTTCTATAGAAATAAATTTACCAGGTTGAGGCTGCAAATACTGGAAAACAAACATTTCATTACTAAACAAGATGCAGGCCCAGAGTAGATATACAGCCCCTCCCCCTTTGCATCAAAGAACACTCACCTGAAGAATGAAATGTTCAAAATTTCTTTTACCGACAAAACAGATGCCCATGCTCTGAAATGAGAGGAAAGCCAGCCATGAGAGGGGCACAGGCAGGGCATCCTGTGCCAGCGTGGGCCTGGGACCAGGAGGAGAGGTGGTGCTGCACTCGGACACCCCAAGGAGGCCCCGGGCCTCCCAGCCTCATCTGCCTCACACTTCCAGGGCAGAGGCGTGGCTGTCCTCCTCCTGCACCCTCAGATGCCAGTCGCAGGCCATAAACAGAACTCCAGGGGCTTAAAGAACATCTCATCATCTCATCCCAGAAGGGTCTAATCATTGCATGGCAGCACGTCATACTAGCTGCCCGAGGAAATAAACTAGACCTGGTCAAGCCCAAACTTCAGGCCATCATCTTGTGAGTAGAAGGGAAGAGACAGGGACAAGAGTAGGGGCAGGAAGCAGAATACAAGGCCTGAAGCCAAGGCACAGGGGAGAGCTCCAGGGGAGAGCCGGAGAACAGAGGTTCTTTTCTCAGTTCCTCTTTCCAGGCACGAGAAGACTGGACTGAAGTGAGCTCTCTCCACCACTGCATATGGCAAGCAGTTCCATCGCTTACTCTTTGGTTTGTGGCCCTCTGGAACGCAGGTACCATAAAGATGGGAACCTGCCCCATCCGTCTCTGCTGCTCCCTCAGCTCCCACCACAGAGCAACACCTGGAAACTGAAAACCACAAGAGAGGACAGGCAGAGGACAACAGCTGGGTGTGCTCTTTGGGGACAATGACTTGCTGATAAAAGGTGTGACTGTGCCCATTTCCAGGAAAACAGACATGAAGGAGTGGCTTTAGCTAAAGCTGCATCAATCCCTGACATGGCCAGATTCAACTAAGCACCCAGGGGTCTGCTGAGCTTGCGAGGCTCATCCCACCACAGCCTCACCCTCTATTACCAAGCCGCCCAATTGACTCTACGCTAATTCCAACAGTGCTCCAAGATTTCTAGCTTCTCTCTCTCTCTTTTTTTTTTAAAGATAGGATTTTACTATCATGATGCCCAAATTCCTGGGCTCGAGCAATCCTCCCACCTCAGTCTCCTGAGTAGCTGGGACCACAGACGTGTACAATCATGCCTGGCTTCCAGGTTTGTTCTTGTCTTAGGACCTTTGCACATGTTCTTCCCTCTGTCGGGACTGTTCCTCCCAACCTTCTACATGACACTGATTCCTACTCATCCTTTAGGTCTCAGGCTAAATGTAATCTCTTCAGAGGCTTTCCTGGCATCTCTATCCCCCAATCTCAATTAGACCACACTGGTGCTTCTCCTAGGGTCCTGTACCTCCCTCTATAGATATATTCTAGGTTTATAGTGATACATCTCCTGTTTTTCTCCCTGCTTGACTGTGAGCTCCATGAAGGCAGGGATGGAACTACTTGCTTGTCATCTTCTCCGCGGGGCCCAGGAAACAGCACCTGGCACAGATGGCACTGGACGAGTCTGTGCTGGGCAAAAAGATGGCAGGGCAGATCTGTGTGCAGACGGCGGCAGAGCGCCTGCCCTTCCTAGAGAATCTCAGTGCTGCATGACACTGCCCTGAACACCTGTCAGGCTGACCCAAGAACACCCCAACCAGCTGCCAAGACTGTGGGAAAAGCTGGAAGAAGTCACGTTAGGCTGTTTCTGAATGTCATCAGCGCCTTCAACTGTGTGCTTGAGCCAATGTCTCCAGCCTCCTCCTCCTCCAGGCTCCTCTCTGACTATGGGAGGGGGAAGAGCACTGTGACCACACAGCCTCCCACTTCTCCCTGTACCATGGAGCCAGTGAATGTACACATGCACTCATCAAGCAAATACTCACTCATACCTCTTTTTTCTGAAGCACATGATGAAGTCTATTCTCAGCAGCTATTTTCTTTACAAAATCTTTCGTTAATCCCCCCAGAGGGAAGATGGTTCTCCTCAGGGCATCCTGGGAAACCTGGCTGAGAAAGAAGGTCTGGTCTTTAAAGCTGTCAGCTGCTTGGAGAAGTTTTACCACTGCCAAGAGTAAAGAACAAAAGACGTTGCAGGAATAAAAATAAGATACTTTACTTTTATTAACGTCCTTTTGTTTACTTAGATTACCTCTGGTCTGTGAGAAGCGAAAATCAATACTCAGTAGCAGACTACTAGGGAATAAAACCACCACCAGAGTCAATGTAAGAAAAACTCTCACCTCTAATTTATCTACAGAGAAAGTAAATTTTATATAATTTTATATAAGGAAATCACTCCAGTTCATATTTTAGATTATGATATTTTCAAAGATGAAACATCACGTGAAAAATGTTCTGAAGTGATAAGGAAAAAAACAAGTCTAAAATTCAGCCAAATTTGGGAAAACTGAATATGACAGCAACTTATAGAAAATTCCATTGAGAGGGTGGCAGCTGTGCTTTTTTTCTAACAGTTACAGAAAGTGTTCATGCCATGGCTGCTTTCAAGGACTCCTTTAATTTCCCCAGATTCAACTACTGGATAAAAAAGATCTTCTTTCAGTCAGCACTCCACTTTTAAAGTCACTTTTTTCCTTGGGTAACAATGACTTTTGTTTAGAGTCCAAGCTGATATTTGTCAGATGCCCTCCTGCAGTTTCTCTAACATTCTGTTTTTGATTGTAAAGAACCATCTTTGGCTTTAAGGCAATGCTGCAGGGGTGTGAATGAACCACTACCAAGGTTCTGAAAAGAAAGCCTGGCTCCACTCGTGGGCCAGATCAGTCCTGTCCGCAGGCTACAGAATTTCTCAATTGGAACTGTCAGGTTCCCACTTTCAAGTTCAATGACCAATGGAAAAAAACTAAGCAGAATATCAGTATTATGGCTTCTTTCAACCTCTCTCATGTCTAGTGCCAAGAAATACCCCACAAGTTATAGTCAGAGTCTGTCACACAGGTTACACAGCACACACACCCTGCATGGCTTGGCACGGTCGTGTATGCAGCGTGCACTCTATGTAGCTAATGTTTTCCATATATTGAGTCTCATGTTAGCCATGTGAGGGAGAATTATCCCTATTTACAGATGAGAAAACTGAGGCTTAGATGACTAAAGCAACTTGCCTGAAAAGTATAGGTAGAGAATAGCAGAGGTGGAAACTGTGCCTAACCTCCCAATTCCTATTCCATTAGCTTTTATGTAAAAAATAGAACCAGGTAAAAAATGAAATAGCATTCAGTCAACTAGTTATCATGTAAGCAGATTCATTTTGCAAATTCTACTTTTTGTTTGATAACTAAATACATTCAAACAGTATATATGTATATAAAAGCCTAGGAACACTGGGAGTGATTTCCATTTTCTCCTAGCTTTGGATTATTTTAAAACAAATGAAAAATCTATGATTTTGAAAAAATGAAGCTGTCAACACTAACTGAACTACCAGAGAGGAAAGGGGCAGAAAGGAACTAACACTTGTAGGGGCCTGCTTGTGCCAGAGCCTTATTTATGCACCATGGCTGTTCGTGTTGGCTCTGCCAGGCCAGTGGTATCACGCTGTGCAGGGGAGGGAACATGCCCAATCACAGGCCAGACCTACGAGCACCTAGGGAAATGCTGGTCTCGGGAGCTGACTGATTTGAGCCAAGGCTTTCTACTGCCCCTGCATGTGCACTCCCCTAAGACCCAGGCCAGGCCAGGGCAATTTGGTAAGAATAGAATAAATAGAAAGCTTTAGTGTGCCTATAAAACACAATGACAGCAAAGACACTGTGGCATTATGAAAACTACCACACAGAAAACATACTCAACAAAATGCATGCCAATGCTATCAGAAAAGTCTCAGAGGGCATGGACATGTGGCCTACGGTCATGGCTCCCAGCTCTGCAAGGTAGATGGTTTTCTAGGAGATATGCAGGAATGTCTAGTCAAATGGAATAAACCCTCATCTACTCAGGCTCTTCATTTACTTGGTGAATTCCACAGTGGAGTTCCCAAGTAGCTTTGCATTTAAACTCGTCTTCCTGAAATGGAGGGGTTTTCCAGAGGGGTGGACCCAGCATCCTTCAGGTGGCAGTGGGAAGTTTCCCAGCATGAAGAGAATGCTGTTCTTGTCTGGGCTTGAATCAGTGAAGTGACCTGAACACCCTCTGCTGTGAGGGGAGGAGGGAAAGAACACAGGACAGCTGATACTGCTGGCACACTCAAGGCTCCCTTGACCAAGTACACTACCACATCATCGCTTCTGCCTTCAAGATGGACTCAGTGACATGAGAAAATAACTCAGCTGGGGCCTGACATAGCAGGAACAGCAGGAACTAAGGAACTAGCAGAATTGGATTGAATTCTGCCACCTGAGTACCCAAGTCCAAATGACTTCATCCAGGCCTCAGTTTCCTCATCTGTGAAATGGAATGAGATCAGTTTTGTTTCGGGCTAGGTGAGGTGAGAGCAAGCACTTCATGAGACTGCAAAGAGAAGCAAAGTGAAATGTGTGCATGTAAAGCCCTGCCCTACTCCCAGAGATCCCCATTCTCCAGATGGGAGTGTGACGGAAATAATGTTCCAGAATCTGAATTCAGTGACGCCCAGGTGACTGTGAGGCAGGCTCTCAGCAGGCCATCAGAAATGCTAACCCTTCAGATGCTACAATGGAAGTTCCTTGCAGAAACATGGCCCTGAGTGCCACTTGGTTTTTCACTCAACAACACATACACCAGGGCAAGCCAGCAGCTTCTGAGCTGTCTGGCATTCACTTTTTTCTAGAAAGGTGAAACTTTGCTCTCCGACATCTATTTTGTGTAGATCACCTTTGCAGACACAGCTACAAAGCCCGACCCCAGGCATACATGGTCAATGGCAGGCCCTGCACGCATATCACACTTAAGTCTGCCCAAACCTCACACCCTAATGAACTTGATGCTAAGTACAAGGCCTTGGCTAAACCTATGGCACCCCAATTGTCACTGTCATATATTCCCCTAGATATCTTTGGAACATTCAAATCACCAACAGACCATGTCTAGAACTGGATTATAAATATCTGATGTAATTTTTCACCAGCCCTTACCCTGGCACCAGGCCAGCAGGGGCATTTCTTACTGCCCAATCTCATGCCCTTGGGGGAAATGACCCTCTTGGTAACTGCGCCTTTTCAAATGTGAGCTGAAAAAACACAAGCTAGTTTGAAGCATACAGAGAAAGGAATGGCAGGTGTGTTCAGATATGACCCACTGTCATTCTTCAAAATATTTTGCTTTTTTCACAAAGAATAAAGCTCTGACCTGGGCACTTTAACTTACCATTTCTAATTTCAAATCGATTTCTGAAAAGCCCTTCTGGCCTCTTAATGTGCTTCTGCTGAAAGACTTCTTCATCTTCCAGTGAAGTTCTTGCATAGTGACCTGTGGCAACAGCATCTGCTCCTGTGAGGTTTTTTTAAAAACACAAGGATCAGATTTTAGACTCTCATTCATCGGCCTTGGTCAGCATGAGCCAAGGGAGCTGAAAGAAGCATGCAGACCTGAGGTCTTACATGGACAGTATATACAGATATTAAACCCCACCCTCAAATATGGATTTCCCAGAGAATAGAGGCACTCATGAAATCTTGTCAAGCAAGCAGCCTTTAGCTCCTTATTTAAGCTGATATAACCCAGCTGCAAAGTTTTATTGCACCTTTAAGAGTCTTTCAAAAGTTAGTATCTATCAAGTCACTCATTTTGGCTTAAAGAAATAGATATGCATGCAAAGATTTAAGAACAAAATGTTCATTTTAGAGTTCATTACAATACTGAGGAAAAATTGAAAACAACAAAAATGTTCAACACTGGGAGAATGTAAAGTGAATTACAATGCATTGCCATAACAGTGGCACTTCTAATGAATGTTTAATGACTTGGGAAAATGCCTATGACATTGTTAAGTAGGGGGAAAATTATATAATACTATGATTCTGCTAGTTTTAATATACAGGAAAAAATGAAGAAAAACATCAGAAGGTCTATTCCTTTGATTCTGGAGTAAAATTACAGATGACGTTTTCCCTTCTCTTTTTATTGTTCTGTACTTTTAAATTTTCTTTAATAAATATGTATTCTTTCTCTCTTTTTTTTTTTTAATCACAGTGAAGGACCATCCAGCACATTCAATGTCTTCTTTTTACATTACACAAAAAAGTCAAAGAACCTACCAAGGCACATATAAGTCTATAACCTTTTTCACTGTGTACAAATTTCAGCTATTGCAAGAGATCTTTTTGAAAGGTGTAGTAAAACTGATTCAGCATTTAACCAACCACACTAGCTTAGTATAAAAACAGAAAATAAGGCTGGGCTTGGTGGCTCAGCCTGTAATCACAGCACTTTGGGAGGCCGAGGCTAGTAGACTGTCTGAGCCTGCGGGTTCAAGACCAGCCCAGGCAACTTGGTGAGACCACGTCTCTACAATAAATCAAAAATTAGTCTGGCGTGGTAGCGCACGCCTATAGTTCTGGCTACTTGGAAGACTGAAGTGGAAGGATCACCACAGCCCAGCAGGTCGACGCTGGAGTGGCTGTGAGTGTGTCCCGGACCTCCAGCCTGGGCAACAGAGTGAGACTCCAATTAAAAAAAAAAGAAAAGAAAAGAAGACAGCAAGAATTAACTGCTGCATATTAACTATCTGAAAAACCAACTTTAGGGATCATGATCACTACTTCACTAATTTTCTAACAGAGGGAAAAAAACTCACTTTTAAATTTATTTCCTTAAAGAACTACATATACAGCAGAAAGAAAGAAAGAAAGAAAGAAAGAAAGAAAGAAAGAAAGAAAGAAAGAAAGAAAGAAAGCAAGCTGTAGGATTCTTCTGTGAGAAGCCCTAAGATTTCAGAAGTCTGAGTTTCATGTACTTTTATTCTATGTTGCCATTATTTCAGACTTGGAAACATTTACTGCAGAAATTCCTTCCCAAGCATGCCTAACAGATGGCTACCTAGGGCCTCCCTAAAAAGCTATGGTGACAGAGAGCTTAGTGCTCTCCAAAGGCAAACATTCTCTTCCTAAATAGTTGTCTGCACTTCCTCCGAGTGAAATATTTCTCCTGCGAATCTTAAATCCCCCCTCTGGTGTCACACAAAGAATGTAATCCTAACTCACTCTTCATCTTCTTCATCACTGTCACTATCACCCAAAGTAATCTCAATAGCTCAGAGGATAATTTCCAGACACCCTAGAAATCAAAATCAATTCACATTCCATCAGTCTGTCACTCTTTTCCTGAATGAAAGAGATGGCCTTGCCAGCAGAACACAGTGGACTCATCGCCCTTTCTCGCACAATCTCTGTCCATCAAGGTGAGCTCAGTCTGTGCTGGCTTTGATAAAAGACATCAGACTACTGGCTCAGTCAGCCTGGGGGCAACTAGATCCCCAGGTCTTCTACATACAAACTTCAACCAAACCAGGTCTTATCAACTTTGTTTTATTGAATTAATTAATCTAAGTCATTGCTAAAAGTGCTGACACTCCTGGACCTCTGGCATGTAATGATAGATGTCTTAGGATGTGGCCATAGACAAAAAAATGAGCTGCAGTGGGACAGAACAAACCAAGAGACCGGTATCCAGAACTTCAGAAACTCATTTATGGTGACCTCAATGACCAGGGGACAGGAAAAAGAACCTAAAATTCACAAAGTATAACAACAGATGCCAAGAGATAATCTAAGCAAGCTATTTAGCATCAGAAAGGTTCACTAAAAGGAAACAGGACTGGGCATGGTGGGGCATACCTGTCTACAATCCCAGCTACTCAGGAGGTAGGAGGATCACTTAAGCCCAGGAGTTCAAGGCTGCGGTGAACTGTGATTGCACCACTGCATTCCAGCCTGGGTGACAGAGTGAGACTCTGTTTCTAAAAGAATAAATAAAAATTAAACTATAAAAAAGAAATGGGGATGTCCCAATATGCAGATGGAATCAAGAAAGAAAAAATTTAGGATTTGACAAAATTTGTAGATTTGGTGAGCAGACAAGTTGCCAGCTAGTGGTAGGGCCCCAACTTCTAATGGTAAGGCGGACTTCTAGCACAGGCTACAAACACATGACTTCAAACCCAGAAAAACAAAAGAGAGACACGGGAACTTGAATCAGGTAGAACACAGACCTGTTCTCAAGACTAAGCAGAAACTCACTTTTGGGAGCAAGGAGAAAAGTCTCAACATGACAAGCAAAAAGGATGATGAAACACTGACTTTCTTGAGTCATGAACCAGGGCCCCTGAAACTTTCCCTAAATACAATCACATCTAGAACCACTGCTGGGAGTAAAGCTGAACCTGCATGCAGGGTGCTATGGCCCAGGTAGAGAGGATGCAACAGGGACCCAGGTGGGATCTGATGCAGATCACTCACAGACCCTGTAAGTTCCACAGGACACCAAATCACAGCTCAGCTGAACCTAGATACAAATGCATCTCAGAGGCAAGGCATCCTCTTGCCTCCTTGTGGCCCCAGTAACTTCTCTACATTGCTCTAGCTCCCAGTTTAAGGAATATCCCCTTGCTGGAGGGCACAAGGCCACATAAAAATCACAGGCAGCCGGGCTCGGTGGCTCAGCCTGTAATCCCACGCTTTGGGAGGTTGAGGTGAGTGGAATACCTGAGCCCGCAGGTTCGAGACACGCCCGAGAAACTTGGTGAGACCTCATCTCTACAATAAATCAAAAAATTAGCTGGGCGTGGTAGTGCACACCTATAGTTCTAGCTACTTGAAAGGCTGAGGCAGGAGAATTGCCAGAGCCCAGCAGATTGAGGCTGCAGTGGCCGGGAGCATGCCACTGCACTCCACTCTGGGCGACAGAGTGAGACTCCAAATCAAAAAAAAAAAACAAAAAACCACAGGCTGCCGGGTACAGTGGCTCATGCCTATGATCCCAGCATTTTGAGAGGCAGAGGCAAGAGGATTGCCTGAGCCCAGGGATTCAAGATCAGCCTGGACAACTTGGCGAGACTTTGTCAAAAAAAAAATAGTCGGGCATGGTGGCATGCACCTGTGGTTCTAGTCTCTTAGAATGCTAAGGCAGAAGGATTACCTGAGCCCAGCAGGTTAAGGCTGCAGTGGCTGTCAGCATGCCACTGCACTCCAGCCTGGGCAACAGAGTGAGACTCTGACTCAAAAAAAGAAAACCACAGGCCTCTGGGCTCCTGGCCTGGTGGTTCCTGAGCAGTAGGCCTATCCTATTTTGGAGTCCTCTGACCAGGCATTCAAAAGTTTTGTTACCCTTGGCATTTTCCCAAAGTTTTAGCCTTTACTTACAGAGTCATCTACTTTTGTTTTTAATGGACCTTTTATCTTGCTGGTGATACCTTATTAAGATTATTAACAATTTAATATCAGAATCTTATTTTCCAAGCATCTCCTCCCTCCTCCTGCAGCACTAGCACCTTTCAATTTTTTGGCCAGTAAGCCAACATATCTTTCCTGGAGATTTTCTGGAGTTGGCTGTCCTGCCTTCTATTGTCTCTGTCCTCACACTTCTGTGGTCCATGATTAACAGTCCTCTCTTCTACCGAGGACACATCACGTGCACTTCAGCAGAAGGTTCTTTTTTCTTTTTTTTTTAAGAGATAAGGTCTTGTCCTGTCACTCAGGCTGGAGGGCAGTGGTGCAATCATGCAACCATGAACTCTTGGACTCAAGCAATCCTCTCATCTGAGCCTCCCAAGTAGCTAGGACTACAGATGTACAACATCATGCCCAGCTAATTTTTAAATTTTCTGTAGAGATGGGATCTCGCTATGTTGCTCAGGCTGTTCTTGAACCCCTGGCCTCAAGTTATCCTCCCACCTCAGCCTCCCAAAGTACTGGGATTATAGGTGCAAGCCACCATGCCCAGTCAGAAGGTTCATTCTTATTCAGTGAAATACAAAATATCATTTTCACTACCACCTTTCTTCCTGAAAGATGAAACTATTACAAGGTTTTGGCTTCTGATTATCTCTGAAAGTCTGAAAATCTATGCTTTTTAAAAACAAATGAAAAAAACTCCAGATTACTTACCAAGATTATCCAGAGCATAATGAAAAAAGCAACTGAATTTGATATGCTTGTTGCAGATGATGTCAGGATTTGGAGTCCTTCCTTTTTCATACTCATTCAAAAAATCACTGGAATAAAAGAAAAAGACTTTAGTCCTAAGTGTGAAACAGACCTCAAAAAATAATCAGCCAGGTGCAGTGGCTCATGTCTGTGATCCCACTTTGGAAGGCCAAGACAGGAGGACGGATTGAGCCCAGGAGCTGGAGACCAGCCTAGACAACATAATGAGACCTCATTTCTATAAAAAATTAGTCAGGATGGTGGTGTGCGCCTCTAGTCCCAGCTACTCAGGAGGCTGATACGGAAGGATCTCTGAGCCCAGGTCGATGCTGCTGTGAGTCACAATTGTGCCACTGCACTACAGCCTAGGTGAAACAGTGTGACCCCGACTCAGAAAAATATAAACATAAAAAATAAACCAGCTAAATTACTTGCTTAATATAGAACTTCTCCTTGTTATACCACAACTATAATTTTCTGCAAAATAGGAGAGCTTCAGCATAAAGTCATTTTCAATATTTTAATCATTTGTTTACAGCTCATCGCACATGCCATCTGATTCTAACTGATAACCTGGATGAACAGCAAGGTGTCATTTCCCCTTGTGCGTCTCCCCAGTGGGGACAGGCTCACAGGGAGTGTGAGGTCAGGAGCAAGTAGGGGCCTTGGGAATCTTACTAAACTCCTGCTTCCTGAGACTCCTCCAACACAGGAGGTTAGGTGAGACAGATAATGTCTGAGTCACAGTAGGAATGAAATCATCTAGAGTTACAAGTCAGGGCCCTATGAGCCATTCTGCAATCTCAGCCTGGAAACCCAGTTCACTAGGCAAACGTGCCCACAGAAACTTTTCTCATGTGACCAACATACACACTTCTGAGGACAAGCTACCTCCTGGGTGCTTAAAGTGGAACAGGTCATACTAACTCAGTGGATTTCTGCTCTAACAGACTGATTGAACATGGGAGATTGATGCTACTCTACCAACAAGACACAGCAATAATTTCACAGTCTTAGAAGATTCACTTCAGGATGCCTATTTCAGGAGTTTAAAATTTGGTGTACTTTTGGGATACATGATTTTTTTTTCATTTAACCTAAAACATTATTAATCGACAAGGTTGAAGATGGATTATAAATCTGCACAGGATCATAGATTACTTGTATATCTTCAACTTTGGCGGGCAATGCCAAACTGTTTTCCTACCACTTATCACTTTCCACAGATGTTCATAAAAACCCGTGTTGCTCAATATTTACAACACTTGATATTATTAAACTCTTTTCATTTTGTTTTGTTAGAAAGTTTTCAAGAGGTTCATTAAACTGTAAATTAAAGTAAGATTCATGTCTCTCTGCGTATGGCCATACACCCAACCAACTTTCTACATAACAGGCAACAAGAAAGTGTTGAAGAGGTTGAGCACTTAAACCAGTTTATGAAGACAAACTGTTAACCCTTTCCTAAATAGCATAAGGGAAGTAGTGCCAATTGGCATTAGCAAAAACTATGGAGGAAGAAGTCTAGCCTATTCCCTCACTAGAAAGAAGAGAAACTTTTTTTGCACTTGTAAGGAAGAGAGCAATTAAAAAGGACATCTGGACTCTGACTCCTGAAGACCAGTTGGCCTTGAACAAAAGAATTCAAAATAAACTTCTGGGCTAGAGACCCCTCCTAGAGTGGTGAGTGCTCAGAACAAGACCAATGAGCAATGTTATAACTACCTCCAGGGTGGCTGGGACTAGGCCTGTCCTGCCTGGACAGAAGGCAGGCTGGCTACAACCCAGGGGTGAGCTTGGAGGCAGCCTCAGAGATGGGAAAAGACTAACAGGCCACCTCCCCCCTTCAGTCCTTAATGAGCAATGCCAGAAAGCAGTGGTGACCACTGGTCTGGAAAGCTCCGCTTCTAACTTGCCACAGTACTCGGGACAAGTCACTCTCCCTATCTGGCCTCAGTTCCAGCTGAGTTAACCTTCAAAAATCATATACACTCACATATTTTAGACACTTTACACCAAAGGGTGACATGTAAACTTACCTGCATCTCTTGCTATCAACACATACCCTACAGTACTCATCAGGATTCCCCCAAATCAGCTTTCCCGACCCATCCAGACTTGATCTTGAAACGACCACTGACTCCTTTCTCTCTGGCCTCTTGCACTCATCAGTCATTGAGCCCCATCACGTTTCCCAAAGTAAAGCCCTGAGAATCCCCTCCATCAGAACCAGCTGAGGTGCTTGTTAAAACACAGATTCCAGCTGTACTTCCCCCACCCTCCCCACAAGACCCAGGTCCAGGTCTGTGTTTACCATGCATGTAAGATCTACTGACCGATAGACTTGTCCTCTGGGTCCATCATAGTCGGTCTTTACCTTCCACTCCTGCACTCCCCCACAAAGCCCAAATCTCTAGTAACAGCATTTCCTTAGATTCTCTGCCTTTGGTCTTCCATAATTTATTCTATATTTGGCTGCCAGACTCCTCTTTTAAATAATGAAAATAACAGCTATGTTTATGAAATGCTTTCTAATACACCAGGCACGTTGCTAGAATTGTATAAGTGATCTCATTTAAGTCTTACAATACCCTGTGAGGTATTAGCATTGTCCTCATTTTAAGAATGAGAAAATTGAGGACTAGAAAAGTCAAGTATCTCTTTCTGGGTCTTTACAGTCAGAGAAAAAGTTTTTTATTTAAAAAAATAAATAAATAAAAGTCAAGTAAATTGGCCAAGATCACACAACTAGTGGCAGAATCAGGATTGAACCCGAGGTTTTTCTGATGCTAAAGTCCATTAAGGAAAGGGCAACCCACCCTGTGCACATAGCCTGCTGTCAGACACCTTCAGTGGCTGCCAGGCACTTAGCATAGTCAGGGCTCACCAGAGAGTAGCCCTGAGCTCCCTCCACTGCATGAACAAGAGTCCAGCAAAAAGTAAAATTAAAGAAATAAACAATGGTCATTTCTCTTTCCCTTATTGCTGCTCTTGCTACCCCATCTGATATGTCTTCTCTATTCCTTTGTTATTTTCAAGCCCTTTTCAACCCCTCTTCTTCCATGAAGCCTTCCTGACCACTCCATGCCACAAATTTCTCCCTCCTCTGAACCTGCAGTACTCTTGATAGAATCACTGGTGTTTCCTACATGCCAGGCACTACTATTAACTTTTCTGAGGATAATGTATGCCTCCCAACTAGACTGCAAACTCCCACACAACAGGGCCATGGTGTAGACATCTTTTTTTTTTGAGTTGGAGTCTCACTCTGTCACCCAGACTGGAGTGCAGTGGCCTCTCCTGGCCACCGTAGTCTCAACCTGCTGGGCTCTAGTGATCCTTCCACCTCAGCCTTCCAAGTAGCTGGAACTACAGGCGAGTGCTAGGACGCCCAGCTAATTTTTTTGATTTATTGTAGAGATGAGGTCTCGCCAAGTTGCCCAGGGCAGGTCTCGAACCCGCGGGCTCAGGCAATCCACTCACCTCAGCCTCCCAAAGCGTGGGATTACAGGCTGAGCCACCGAGCCTGGCTGGTGTAGACATCTTAATGTTCCCAGATGTAGCACAGTACCTAGTATGAAATAAACACTTAGTAATAATCATTGAGGTTGCATTAGATTTTATAAGTTTTTGTTTGTTTCTTGTTTTCAAGAGACACAGGACTGAATTCTTTTTCTCAGAACCCCCTAATCACTGACCCACACATGGGCATTGATGCCTACCATCAGCACCTTCCAGAGACCTCAGCCTTAGTTCCCCTACCCTAACTGAGCAGCAGCAACACATCAAGGTTCAAGGAAGCATTAAAGAGACACCTGACAGCGAAATAGCAAGAGTAAGAGAGCCAAGGGTGCTGCAGGGTCCAGGCCTTGTCTCTAACACAGAGGCCACCAAAGGCAGCTGAGGCCTCTGCAGTGTCTTAGGCATCATTGCCTAGGAGGAGTGCAAGGCTGCAGGGGGATACATCTGGCTGACTGTGGCAATCCCTACACCGGAAACCGCCTACGTGCTGTAGCCTGCACTCACGTGAACACATCATTCCAATACTCCTTCACATAGGACACTTGATGGAAAGGGATGTCTAAGATTTGGCAAACTCTGTAAGCATCTTCACAGTCTTTGTCAGCGGTGCAGACTCCATGTTCATCCAGTGAGTCCCAGTTCTTCATAAATACCCCTGTCACTTGGTAACCTGGGGGAGGAAAGAAGTTAAATTAAAGAGGGTACATAAAGCAAAGTTGGGCAAAAAGGGGAGTGATTTCTGAGATCCAAGTAATTCCCAACATGCCAGGCTCCCAACGCTTCTGTGCCTGGTTTGCCTGGCTATCCCTGCTTTGCCACGTGGCCCTTAGGCATCCAGTTATCATCTTAGTGCAGGTCACACTAGGTGCTCCCTCCCCTGCACCCTCGCTGCACTTTGGAAAGGCTTCCATCATCACAACACATCACTGGACTGAAACTGCTTGCCTGAGTCCTCACGTGCACAGGACTTAGCAAAAATGTTCTGATAAATGAAGTAACTGAAATTCAATAAAACTTTTCAAAACAAATAAAAACAACCAGTTATCAGAAAAGGAAACTCATTTCAAAAGTTATTTCCAGTTACCATGTAGGACTTAGATTCTAAGTCATCATATAGAGACATTAAATTTTTGGATATTTTATTATAAGGGCTGTACCACCTATATATTTTATAACCTATTTTCCCTCTTTTCTATTGTGACAAAGTACTCATTCAAATATTGGAAAGGCCAACTTTAGCCTTAACGCCTTACCACCTATCCTATGAGAAATCTGGTTCTCTTGGGTGGGCTGAATGTAATGAAAGACAGGGTATTTGACTGTTAAAGAAGGCTATAGTACCCCTAAAGAACAAGGATCTGGCAACAAAGCTTTGCCAAAACTAAAACACAAGACCATCCCTGAGGGTGATCAGCAACCCCCACCTGATTTCCTGAAGCACCTGACTCTGCTTCTGTTACAGCCCTTACCACACTGGGCTCCAATTGCTCCAGTCTGCCCCTGTAACTGTAAAGTACCAATCTCCTCAAAGGCAGAGACTGTGTCTAACTCAACCCTGTGTCCCCAAGCACTTCTTACAAGTGCCTAACACAAAACTAGAGCTAAAAGAGCTTGTAGAATGAACAACCCTACACACAGAGCTTAAACAGTCTGCTCTTCCTAATCTTATCTGCTTGATCATTTTTCTCATGAACAGATGTGACCCACTTACACACGCTCAGACACTCTAGGATTGGAGCTTAACTTTCCAGGAGGTGCGTGACAGGACATGCACCTCCAAACAAGGCTGGGAAAGCCCTCAATGACAGAAGGAAAGGACATTTTTTTCTCTGCTGAGTCCATCTGCTTCCTCCATGGAGGAGAATCCAAGAAAGGGTGGATTAGGAAGTTGTAGTCGGGAGAAAGCATGCCTTCTTGAAGTAATAAAATGATATATCATCTCCCCACAGCCAGTCTTCTACATCTCCCAAAACCCAGTCATGCCCCTCATAGGAAACCTTCAAGGGCTCCTGTTTACCCAAAAACGTGTGAAGTCCCTAATAGAACATCTTCCAAAAACTGGGGCTCAACCTTCACCACTCACCTCCCCTTCCAGCTCCATTGGGCCAGACCCAGCCAACACTTTCATGCCTCTGCGCTTCTGCTTGTACTACAGACTCTACCAGCAGTGCTTCCTCCTCACCTCAAATTGTTTAGTGACATCCTACTCTTCCTTCAAGTTTCAGCTCAGACACCTCCAACTCTCCTTGATTCTTTCTCACAATTGTGTATGCTTATGTTATGTCCAGGCTTCTCTTTGGCACTGTTTATTATACCTCTGATAATAGTTATGGTTATGAATAATAATATAAACTAATAACCACTACTGGTTTCTGAATACCTCATATGTGCTGACCACTGGGGTAAACCCTTCAATATGTATTTTGTCACTCAATCTGTTCAGTCACCCTGTAAGTTTAAGTGTTTTTTTGAGTTGGAGTCTCACTTCGTCGCCCAGGCTGGAGTGTGGTGGCACGCTTCCAGCCACCGCAGCCTCGACCCACTGGTCTCCGGCTATCCTTCTGCCTCAGCCTTCCGAGTGGCCAGAATTACAGGTGCGTGCTACCACGCCCGGCTAATTTTTGATTTACTGTAGAGATGAGGTCTCTCCCGGGCGGGTCTCAGGCAATCCACTCACCTCGGCCTCCCAAAGCGCTGGGATTACAGGCTGAGCCACCGAGCCCAGCCGAGGTTAAGTGTTATCTGCATTTTACAGAGGAGAAAGGCTTAATTAATTTACCTATGGTCAGGAGCTTGAAAGCAACTCTGCATTCCAAGTGCCTGGAACCAAAGGTGGGTCACAGCAGAGGCTCCACAAATGTTACTATGTGAATGAGGCCTCCAATGGGAAGGGAGAATTTAGACAGGTAGTGTTTAGGATCCTAAACAACTGCGGGGCTCCATTTGGATGCCCAGAAGAAATGCAACTGCTTTTGGAGAAAAACTTGTCTTGTGACGAAAGGAGAACACAGGAGAGACTTAATAAGCAGACACACTGCACAAGATTTTGCCATCTCGAGAGAAGGGTGGACAAGGATCTCCACCGAGAGGCCGCAGTGTCTACAGAGGTCAGTCCTCAGGTTCTGACGATCCAGCTGCCATCACTATTGTCCGTGGTCTCCAGGTTAGTGCAGACGCCGCCAGCACCACCGCGGGCGCAGGGGTGCAGACCCAGGGAGAAACCCTCCCCTCCTGGCCCAAAAGTTCACGATCTGCTATGTTCTAAGTGAGGAGGGGAACGGGTAAGTTCTCTGAGGTCGTAGGAGCTGCAGTCGCGAGCACTTGCGACAACACAGGCGGAGGTCGAGGAGTCACAGAATCGAGGCGGGAGGACATGGGATGCCCCGGCAGATCCGCGCGCAAACTGACGCCCAGAAAGGGAGGCGACCTGCCCAAGGCAACGCAGAATGGGGAGGCTCTCGGACGGAGAGCCGCTCAGGGGCAGGCAGGGGCCTCGGTCGCCTCACCTCTCCGCTTTAGAAGCAGTGCCGCCACAGCACTGTCCACCCCGCCGGACAGGGCGCACACGACATGCCGCGCCGCTAGCATCAGTCCGCCAGCCAA